TTTCAGATGAAAAAAACTAAGGCTGAGACCTGGAATAAGTACTAACAACGGTGAACCTCCCCCAGCGCTGGCTGATGTCAGGTACTCCAAGAGGTGCGATCTGGATTGTGTCGTCGCCCCATATCCACCCCACAAGCTCTCTGCCCATTCTACCCAGGAGGAACTCCAGCCTGGCGAGGTGGAGTGGATGCTGGGGTCCCACAGCTGAGTACTGAACAGGCTGTGAACCCCATGGCCAGCAGACAGCCCCAGGAGCCCTTCCAATTTGGACAAGACCCTCCAGGCCTGTCTGCAGACTTAGGGTGTTGACTTTGCCAGTGGATGAGCCAGATAAATAAACAAGAGATCCAGAAAGCTCCTTTTATCCCTTGCAGCTCTGAATTTGCTGAGGCCACACAGCAGCTGAGATTAAGCAGGCAAATAAATTATTCTCTAGAGACTGGGCATGATGATGCATGTATATAATCCCAGCACTCAGGAGGCAAAGGCAAGAGGCTCTAAATCTCTAATATAGTAGCAGGGCATAGGATACACTGCCCCTGACAAACAGGTTCAAGCACCAGAGAGAGTTTGGGGTGATGGTTTTAGACCAATTGTCAGGGAGAGCTGCCCTGATGAGAGGTCAGCTGAACAGAGATGGGGACGTGAGGTAAACATCAAGCTGTGCAAGTATCTCAGGGAAAAGCATTCTGGGCAGAGGGAATAATAAGTGCAAAGGCCCTGAGGTAGGAGTGAGGTTGTCACCTTTGGGGAGAGACAGGGAGGCCAGGGTGGCAGGAGGAGACAGGATAAGGTCAGGGAGGTCAAAGTGTGCTGGGCAGATCAGGTTAGTCCTTAGGAAGAGTGTGACTTAATAGAAACTGCTTTTGCTATGAAACACTGCCTCCTTACTTGGCCACAAGTTCGCTCCAAGCAGGATAAGAGCCTGGCACCCCTGGCTTCACTTGGCATCGCTCCTTTTGTCTTAAAACTTTGGGACTGACTCCTGCTTAGCACAGCGTGTAAGCACATTCAGCACTCATGGGGCAGGGCGTCTGCCTAAAACCCAGTGCACCCAAGCCAGCTTGTCTCCTCCAAGGCTAAAGGCACAAAGATGTCCATAATTGGGGAATCTCCTGTTAACCTGGTGATGTCCTACTCCAGACCCCTAAAGGTGCCTGAAAGTCTCCAGTCATTGTCCTAAACCAAGGTCACCGTGGATTCCAGGAGACAGAACAGACCACCCAATGACGAGATCGTTTGAGCAGGAGCAGTCATCTCAGGGAACTAGATTGTCCCCCAAGTAATAAGAATTTCTTCTGGCTGCCTTGCAGAACTAGAAGTGAAATAACAGCCAGCCAGACCACACTCTGACCAGGGCTATTGCAGTATGCAGTCCCCTGGTTCCCTGCCTTCGATTCTTCCTCTAATTAAACCTAAAACTCATGTCTGCACCCCAAAGACAGACTTGGGGTCATCAAACCCCCTTATCTGTTCTTCCCACCTGACTAAATCTCCTCTCTCTGCCCTCACCATTGCTAGTGTCTTTAATCCGGGGCTGGATTGGGTAGGGGAACCTGGCCTATTGGTCCTCACAAGAGCTTGGGGGGGCTGGGGTAATGGGGGGGTGGGGGGGTGATACTTGGAGGCTTTGTAAGGACCATGGTAGCTAGACCCTGAGTGAGGAGGAGCCATGCAGGTTCTGAGCAGGTTAGGTGACAGGTTCTGAGTAAGGCTCTGGTAGACTGGGGAGACTAGACTGGAGAAAAGGCTGAAAGCCAGGAGGTGGGGGAGGGGTAGCAGCCCCTGCAGGGCACCCTGGGAAGATACAGTGAGACCCCAGGGACCCAGCTCTGTGCTCAGTCCACTGTTTTCTGAAGCCCGCCTGGCTGAGCTCATCCGCTCCTCACAACACCCTGTCTCCCTGAAGGAAGGACTCAGAGGTCAAGCCTCGTGCCTCAGGCTCCCCAGAGTGTCAGTGGGGAAGGTGGCCAGCTGGGGGCCCAGGTTTCCTGCAGCATGGGGAGGGGGGTGGTCCTTTGCAGAGCCCTGGCAGGTACCCAAGTGTCAGGTAAAGCCTCTATGCCTGTATCCTGAGGCTAATGCACTCAGAGATGGGGTGCGCGAGGTGGTGGGGGGGTCTTCACACTACTGTCTGTCCCATTCCCACCTCAGGACTGAGGGCTCTGTCTGGGCCAGTCCTGAGTGGCTGTCGTCCCCCGCTGCTCTTACTGAAGTCACTCACTGTGCGATCTGGCCAGCGGGACTGGACACTTCGGTCCTCCTGCGCCCCCGGATTGGGGCTGGGCTGGGGGAGTGTGTTTAGGTGGAGTGTGGCGGGGGAGCTCCCCAGTCCCCTCCTTCCAGACTGTTCCTCCCACCCCAACCTCCTTCCCTGCCCCATCACCCCAAATTCCCTCTCCTCTCCTTCCCTAAATCGCTTCCCCATTTCCATCCGCTCCTCTTTCCCCCTCTCCCGCCCGGCTGTCCCCTCCATCCCGCGTTGTCACCTCTGCCGGCCGGTGGCGGGGAAGGGTCTCCGCGAGGCCTGGGCGGGGCGCGGCGCGGGGCGGGGCGCGGGGCGGGGCGCGGGGCGGGGACCCGGGTGCACTACCTGGGGTGCGACCCGGAGCCCGCGCCACCGCTGTCCCCGCCGCCGCCACCATGTCCTGGGCCGCGCTCCTCGGTCTCCTGGTCGCGCTGCTGCTGCTGCTGCTGCTGACCCGCCGGCGCGCACGGTGAGTCCCCGCAGGCGACACCCGCGACCGGGGGTCCCCGCGCCCGGAGGTCTCGAGGGCTCCACAGGGGAAGGGGCGCGCACGGTGGGGACAGGGAAGGGTCCCGTGGGGCCAAGCTGGCTTTGGCGAGGGTGGGGACAATGGGGTCGGGCAGGTAGGGGTCGGGGTGCGGGGTGTGCGTCACCTTCTGGGCCACCTCCTGAGGGACCCTAGGTCCTGGCGGGGCTGTCCGCAGTGCAGTATCCACATCTGCCAGGGAGAAACTGAGGCCAGTAAAGGGGTCCCCTCCCTGAGGTCCCACGTCGCGGTCAGGAGCCACTTGCCTCGGCCTTTTGCGCCCCAAGGTTTTCTGCTCCAGAAGAATCAGTGGTTTAGGAGAAGAAAGGAAACTCGCACTTCAAAGCGGGGACCTAGGGGGAGGTCTTTTTTATAAAGTATTTCAAAAATTAATTTCAAGTGCACAGGGAATAGCAGAAAAGATTTGACTTAAGTCTTTATCTTGTAGGTAAGAGCCAAGCCTCTCTGCCATGGTTCTAGTCCTAACCCCCCTGGGTCTCTCCTGCTGCTCAGTTTGGGTGGAACTTTCCAGATTTAAAACAACAACAACAACAAAAAAAACCCACTTTAAAAAAAATGTCAGACTAGTTTGAGATTTACAGGAAAGTTGCAAAGATGGTACAAAGAGTTCCCGGACTCTTCTTACTCGGTTGTTACTACGGTAACATCTTTCATTATCTTGGGACATTGTCACACATGAACCAGACCGTCCATTACTATTAGCTAAACTCAGAGCTTAGTGGGATTTCATCAGTCTCCCCGCTCAGGTCCAGGAACTGAGCTCCTCCACCTCCCCAGATGTTTTAACAATTTGCTCTCACACACAAGGCAGGAGCTGGTAAGAACACAGGGCTGCATGTGTGTTTGTTTATATTACAGCAACTGAAAATTCCAGAAACGGTGGGAACTTGACAATTTGAACAATACATTTGTTGAATTTTCGAACGATCAGCTCACTGTATTTTTCTTCAATTGCCAGACATCTTACTCCAGGTGAAATTTAAACTATGTACTCAACCAGTTGTCTGAAAAAAAGGAAAGATAGAAGATAAGTTTCCCTATGAAGAAATAGAAAGGTGTTTTCAGACAGCGTATTTGCTTTTCTCATTCCGGGCAATAGATTTGACATCTGCTCTAATCACTTGATCTTTACAGTGTTCCATAATTTGAATAAATGTAGGTTTGTTTTTTTTTTATTGCTGCTATTATTTGTTTTCGGAACTAGGGATTGAACCTGAGACCTCACACATGTACACTTGAACCATGACCCCAGCCCTTTTTGGTTTTGCATTTTGTTTTTGAGATAGGTTCTTGCTGTCTTTACCTGGACTAGACTTGAACACATGATCCTCCTGTCTGCCTCCAGAGTAGCTGGGACTACAGGCGTGTGCTACCTCATGCAGCATTTCGTTGTTGTTGATGGACTTTTCAGTTGTTTCTGGGGCTTTTGATGTTTCAGATCACGTGCTGTGTTTTCCTGCACTTTTCCCCAGGGCAGGTGGAGACAGCCAGAAAGCTCGAGGATTCTGGGAGTAGGGTTTCTGGGTGCTTGGCATTCCTGACATATGGAAGTGGACATGTGGGGCCACTGTTCCCTGCCTCAGTTTCCCAGTTTTTAAAAGGGGGATGGTAATGGTAATGGAACTGCTAGGTTCCAGGCAACGCTCTTGAGACTTACTAGGGCTAATTCTTGCTAACTAGGTTTCTGGAAAGCTTGTTGACCTTGGCAGTGAGCCTCTGATTTTCACACCTGTGGGCACCTGGGCAGCTCAGCAAGGGGCCACTGGGGAGAAGTATGAGAATGGGAGCCACTGGCAGCTGGGGGACTAGAATGTGGGCCCTGGGAGACACTCTGGGGATCCCAGTTTAGGTCCCACTCACATTTTTCCTCCCAACTTGCCTGGGGGGGCACTCTGGCTACATCTATGTTAGAGAAGGAGCCAGAGGCTTAGATAGGCCAAGCAGCTTGCTCCAGAGCTGCCTTGGTTAAAACTCCTGGCTGCAAGGATTCTTAATTCCCAGGAAAAAAACGAATCCTCACTCTGCACTCACATTACATCGGTGATCTGAACATGTGGCACCTTAGAGCTGCATGACCTAAGACAACCAGGGATGCAGGTAGAAGCAGCTACAAGATGCTCAGAAGGACAGACACTCAAGTGTTGGAAAAGAAGTGGATGACGTCGATGCTGTGTAGACAATGACTCAAAATTTGGGTGGAAAGAAGCAAGGTTCCACCTCCCTTGCCTCATTCCTTTCTCCTGACCAAGCCTGAGGTCATTTTCATCACCCCTGCCATACAGGGGTGACTTTGTATATTTAAGTGACTTTGCCAAACTCGTACAGAGCACACAGTACATTCCACATCAGCCTGTAATCCCAGTACTTGGGAGGCAGAGACAGGAGGACTAAGGGTTTGAGGCCAGCCTGGACTACACAGCCAATTCCAGTCTAACCTGTGCTACCTAATAAGACCCCACCTCAAAAACCACAGCAAAAAAATAACTAGCATATTCCATATGCAGTCATCCCCCAATTCATGGTGTTTCAGTACAAAATACTACCCTAGCTGGCCAACACCTGTGTCTCTGCCTCCAGCATTAAAAAAAATTTTTTTTAACTTCTTAATTATGAAAAATTTTAACAGTGCAGAAAAAGAATAAAAAGCCCTCATGTACCTGAATCTTGACTTGAAATTCACTAACATTGTTTAAAAAATTACACGTCAGTATGCCATGATACTTCTCCCTGAATACTTCAGAATGAAAATCAAATGTCTATCAGGTCAGGAGTCCTGTGCCCCGGGATGCAGGATTTCTAGGCGTAAATACACCTGCCTCATTCCAACATGCCGTAACCAGATGTGAGCCAGCGGCGGGATTGGTTCCAGATGGGTCTGGTTTGTGCCACACAGTGTCAGAGGAGAACACTGGGTGAAAAGAGGAGGATGGGCAGTGGAGACCTCTCTGACCCTTGCCACAGTCCCCACCACTCCCTGGCTTCTCCAGCCCACAGCTGTCTGGTTATCACTCTCCACTCTCTGCTGTTTTTGCTCCTGGCGATAACTGTCCAACTCTGCCTATTTCAAAAGCAAGAAAACAAAAAACAAAAAGGCTGTGTGCTCTTTCTCTGGAATGGTGTGGGCAGAGGTGAGGAGGAGCACAAGGGCGAGTCCCACCCAGGGCAGAGAGAAACCTTGGATGAGCCCTGGGGAAGAGCAGGCTAAGCAAGCTGAACAGAAGTTTGGGTGGCCCCAATCCAGCTGAGCAGGAGCCAGCACCCTGCGTTCTCCATCAAACCCTCCTAGAGACAGAGACCTTGTGCTGAGAGGGTGGCAGCCCCCAGTGTCACACGACTGACCGGCAGCTCCACATTGGGTGATCCAGAGTGTGGACTACGTGCAGCACTTAGCCCGCTTTCGCTCTCTTAGCTTTGGGAGGCAGACCTGACGCTGAGCACCGACCGTGCACATGCTTTAATGTACACAATTTAGGTACATTCTTTAAGCACCTACTGTGTGCTAGGCTAGCGCGAGCACCAAGACCCTGCACTCATGCATTGGCTCTCCAATGAAGCTGTCATCCATTAAGGGGCCCAGAGTTGGGCAGCAGGCCACCCTAGACTCCCACCCCTGATTCGAAAAAGTTCAGGGAGCGCGAGCTACAGGGCAGGTGGCATCCAGAGAACCCCATCCTACAAAAACTAAGGTTCCAGGTTGAAGCAAGGGGCGTTTGGTATCTGAGCTGGGATGAGCAGTCGATGTGGATGGGAGAGGGGGATGGGAGGGTCTCAGGCCCACCCTTGGGCCTGGCAGTGCCTTAAACAGTGAGAGTGGCCGTGGGCAAGGCCTGAGACCGCAGGCCTGAAATAGAGCCTCCTTCGCCCCCGCTGCCCACAGGCTGAGTCACCCTGGAATGTGGCCTGGGCTGGGGTTGGCTCAGGGTCTGGGACTGAGAAGCTGCCAGCCACATCAGGGGTCGGGCGCCTGGGCTCCCCGCTTCCTGCTTTTGTCTGTGCCTTCTTGGCTTTTCTGGGAAGAGGACAGCTGCCAGAAACAACACCTGCCATCCCAACCCCAAGAGCAACAGCAGGCGGGGTAAGGCACAGAGACAGGAAGCCCCTCCTGTCCCACGATGTCCCTGGGAAAGGGTGGGACAGTCTCAGGCCATGCATGTGATGGTGACTGATATCTCTGTGTCTCAGGTTCTCCATCAGCACATGGGGGTGTAGCTGTGTGTTTGGGGTGACCTGGAGCCAGGTAGCGTCAAGAGCCTGGGCTCTGTAGCTAACTTGCCTGGCTGGAAACCCACCTTTTCCATGGTGGGCCCTCTGGCCCCACTGTGTCAGAGTTTCCTCCTCTGTAAAATGGGCCTGGCAGTAGCTGTTTCCTCCCAGGGTTGGGGGAGGAGTCTGAGTTCCTGGGCGAAGTGCTTGGCTTGGTGCTTCCCACACTGGGCTTTGCAAGTTGACTGTTATTACCAAACAAGGAGACATTAGGCCATGCCAAGCAGTGCCTGGTGTGTAGTTGGCGCTCAATAAATGTCATCTGGAGTCTTCCTGGTCCTGCTTCTGGGTGCTGCCACCTCCCAGGTGCTCTGCAGCCCCTTCATTCTTATTGTAGCCAGATGTGGTCTATAGTGGTGACACTCCAAGAAGTGTGGCCCAAAGTATGGGCTCAGATCCACAGGCGGCTCCAGGTTCTGGCTCCCCGATTCAGGCCGGCCAGCACCGCCCAGCAGGCTGTTTCAGTGCCTGCTCCACCAGCATGACTCGTGGGGCCTTCAGAGGAGCCGCCTTTGCCCAGGGGCTCCAAAGAGACAGGGAAAGGAAGGGTCCTGGCAGCCTCTGGGAACATGGCCTCCAGCTCTGTGAGTCTTCACTGGGGTGGGAGAGGAAGGGCTGGGGGAGGGCGAGGGGCTGAGCGGGCATTTCTCGTGCCCCCTTCCTCTCTGGATCTCCTCCCTTCTCCCCCTGGCCTTCAAACCTGCCCACTCTCCCCTGACCACCTGCTATTCCAGCCTTTGTGTGATGCTGGGGACAGTCAGACAGAGAAGCAGGAGGCAGGTGGAGGGAGGAGGAAGAAAAGGCAGAGAGAAGCACCTGGGGGTGAATGGGAGCCCCTGCTCTGGAAGCCGGGGATCCAGAGGCCAAGCTCGTTCTCCCAGTGGTCACAGGAGTCTCCTTTGAAAGATAATCATGTCATTTCCTGACTCCTGCTTCAAACCCCCACTGGATCCCCATTGCTTCTGGCGTAGAAGCCAGACTCTCGCCTTGGTCTTCCCGCCCTCTTGGCCCTCAAGGCCATCTCCAACATCTTGACTCCCTCGCCCCACCCCAGGGCCTTTGTACTTGCCGTCCCTGCTGCCTGTAGGGTCTCCTCCTGTCCTTCCAGAGAGCCCACCTCTCATCCTTTGGGTCTTTGCTTACACAACCCCTCCTTGGGAGGCCTCCCTTGACCACTTCTGTCATCTCCCCACTGTCTCAGTCATCCTTTCTCCTTCTTCTTCTTCTTCTTAGTGGTACTGGGGTTTGAACTTAGGGCTTCATGCTTGCTAGGCAGGAGATCTACTGCTTGAGCCGCTCTGCCAGCCCTTCTTTCATATCCCATAAAATTCCACCCTTTTAAAGTGTACGATCCAGTGGTTTTTAGCATATTCACAGGGCTAAACAACCATCACCACTGTCTAAATCCAGAATATTCCATCATCCCAAAAGAAACCCTGTACCCACTAGCAGTTACTCTCCACCCGCTCCCTAGCCCCTGGCAAATACCAATCTACTTCCTGTCTCTGTGGAGTTCCCCATGGCGGACATTCCACGCAAGAGGAATCATACAGTCTCTGGCTTCTTTCACCTAGCTCCATGTTTTTAAGATTCTTCCATGTGGTAGCATAAATGACGACTTCCTTTTCATGGCTGAATAATGTTTCATGCATGGATATAACACATTTGGTTTATTTCATCATCAATCAGTGGAAGTGTCCCACTATGTGAACAAGTTTTGCCAGAACACATGTCTTCAGTTTTGGGGGTACATTTCTGGGTCATGTAGTAACTCCATATGCCAGACTGGTTTTTGAAGCAGCTACACCCTGTGACATTCCAACAAGGGTTTCCATTTCTCCACGTCCTTTAGGACACTTACCTTCCTTTTTAAAAATCTTTGTGCACTGGTATTTTTTTTTAAATTTTTATTTTATTCATATGTGCATACAATGTTTGGGTCATTTCTCCCCCCTGCCCCCACCCCCTCCTTTACCCCCCCGCCCCTCCCTCTTCCCCCACCCCCTCCTTCTCTCCCCCACCCCCTCAACACCCAGCAGAAACTCTTTTGCCCTTATCTCTAATTTTGTTGTAGAGAGAATATAAGCCATAATAGGAAGGAACAAGAGTTTTTGCTGGTTGAGATAAGGATAGCTATACAGGGCATTGACTCACATTAATTTCCTGTGCGTGTGTGTTACCTTCTAGGTTAATTCTTCAGCAACCGGTCATAGTTCACAGTTGTGGGGGCACAGGTTCCTCTAGCTGGGGTGGAGCTCCTTGTTAGAGGGTCAAGGTGGCAGTCAGCTGCCCTTTCCCCAGAAGCTCCCAGGGGATCCTGGCTTGCAGGTAGAGGACCAAGATTCCTTGCCTGCTCTCAGCAAAGGTCCCACACAGCTCCCAGGGGCCTCCTGCTTTCCTTGCCATGGGGCTGTGGCTGGCCTCTTGCCACTGATGGACCTCAGGTTCAGAGCTGGCGAGTGCAGTTGGGCTAGTGATGAAGCCAGTGCCTCTGCCACTTTCTGCTTGACTGCTTTTCTGACCCTAACCTTTTCTCTAGTTCCTGGTCCCCTTCTCCTATTGGCCTCAGTTGCTGTAAGGTATCTGCTTTAGTTTCTCTGCATTGAGGGCAGCAGATGCCATCTGGTTTTGGGTGTCTTACCTGTCCCATGGCTCCCGTGCGCTCTGATATGTGTGCGGTATTGGGGAATCCAGGGCTGAGCAGACGCCCCAGTCCTGAGCCACGCCCCTAGCCTGCTCCTTCATTTTGTGCCCTTCTAATTGGCGGTACTGGAGTTTGAACTCAGAGCCTTGCACTTGCTTGGCAGGCCCTCTACCACTAGAGCCACACCCCCAGCTCAGCCTTCATTCAATTTTTCTAGTAGGTTTTGTTTTTGTCTGACTGGGATTTGAACTCAGGGCTTTGTACTGACAAAGCAGGTGCTCTACCACTTGAGCCACACCTCCAGTCTCATTTTTAAATGAGTTATTTGTCTTCCTGTGGTTGAGCAGTGTCTCAGCTATTTTCTTTGTTGCACTTCTCCCCATCTGGTGTACTTGCCCTTCTGTCTTCCCTCAGTAGCATGTAAGCCCGTGGGGTCAGGGGCCCCACTTCCCTGTTGCCTGCTGTCCCTTGAGGACTCAGAACCATGTCTGAGTCATAGTTACTGTCTGGTGAGCAAGGGAACAAACCCATATTGAGAAGGAGAGATGCGACAGTGGTGGTTCACTTGCTGTCTCAGTCATCCACTCAGTCATTCAGAAGATGGGCATCCGCACGCTTTCTGATTTCTGTGGCTCTGATAATTATAAGAGTAAGACCGGGGTCCTAACTGGGATCCCCTGTGAGCAGTATTGTGAAGTTTGTTATGGCCCCTGACTGCATCTTCGTTAACTCCCAGTTCCTCCCCTGGGGCAGTGAGGATGAGGCAGGACTTGCCCAGGGTCAGTGAGTCAGATGTAGTAGTTATTTACTGCTGTGTAACAAGCTGTCATCCACTTAGCAGCTCAAACAGCAACCGGTCATAGTTCACAGTTGTGGGGGCACAGGTTCCTCTAGCTGGGGTGGGGCTCCTCGTTAGAGGGTCAAGGTGGCAGTCAGCTGCCCTTTCCCCAGAAGCTCCCAGGGGATCCTGGCTTGCAGGTAGAGGACCAAGGTTCCTTGCCTGCTCTCAGCAAAGGTCCCACACAGCTCCCAGGGGCCTCCTGCTTTCCTTGCCATGGGGCTGTGGCCTGGCCTCTTGCCACTGATGGACCTCAGGTTCAGAACTGGCGAGTGCAGTTGGGCTAGTGATGAAGCCAGTGCCTCCACCACTTTCTGCTTGACTGCTCTTTCTGACCCTATGGGCAGAACGGAAGTGTGAGATGACCAAAACCTGGGTCCAGACTGGCTCAGAGAACTTTGTGTCTGTCTACCTTTGGGTGCTGGAAGGCTCTTACCTGCAGGGAGATGACCAGCCCCTTTGGAGCTGCCTGCACAACTCAACTGCTTTTTCTTTCTGCCCTCAACTGCTTTTCCTCTCTCTTGTTAGTCCAGCCACACTGGCCTCTTTACTGTTCTTTGAACACAAATCATCAACCCCAAGCCCTTTGCACTTGCTGTCTTCTCTTCCTGGAACGCTCTTCTCTTAGATACTCACATGCCTCCCTCTCTCACCACCTCCAGGTCTCTGTAAATGTCTCCTCAGTGGGGCCTGCCCTGACCTCTCCGTTGACTGCCCCATGCTTGCACTGTGTCCCCTTCTTTATCAAATGATACTAAATGCTGTGACTTCTTCAGGCAACCCGGTGAGCCTCCCCTGGACAGGGGCAGCATCCCCTGGTTGGGCCATGCCTTGGAGTTTGGACGAGATGCTGCAGGCTTCCTCACGAGGATGAAGGAGAAGCACGGTGACATCTTTACTGTAAGTTGTGCTTGGAAGGGAAGGAGTTGGGTTGCTGACCACATCCCAGGGACACACCAGTTCTTTCAGCATCGGTCATCCATCCACCCAGGGCAGCCATATTCCTGTCTGTCTGTCTGTCTGTCTGATCACACATTCAGCACTTCTCTGACATCCATCCCCTCAAAATTCAGCCTCTTCAACAGGAAGCTGTGTGGTCTGTCAATATCTATCCAATACTGCATCATCCAGCTTGTCCATCCCTCAACTGCCACCTGTGTGACGTCCATCTGCCCATCTAATGTCCCCTCGTGTGCCTTTCCACCCAACATCTTTCCAGGAGCCTTCCATCCTCAAATCTACCCAAAATTTATTCGTACCTCCGCCTGCCCACTCATTCATCCACCTGTCCAACCACTCACCCAACATCTGTCTATCTATGCCTCTACTTGTCTACCAAATGTACTCAGCCTTCTTCCACTCGGGATGTACCCGACATCCATTCAACTTTCATCCCCAGATTCAGTTTCCACTAACCTCCATTCTTCCATTTATCCACCCATTGTTCTACCTGTCAGTCACTACACACAGCACTCAGCTGTGTACCCATTCAGTAGCTGATGGCTGTCTACTCAGTGGACATCTGTTTCTGTCTCCATCCCTCCTTTTCTCCAACCTGCACTCAGGTAACCAGCACCCATCCATCCAACGTCCACGAATCCTTCCAACTTCCATCCATCGAGCATTCACCCTTCAGGCTGTGTGCCCGATGTCTGCCTAGCATGCTGTTCATCCCTGCACCCGACGTTCACCCATATATCTATTTCTCACCAACCTCTAATGCTCACTCACCTGTCTTTCCATCTGACACGGGTTCATTGATCTGCCCTTTCAACTGTTCACCCATCAAACATTCTACACTAGCATTTACCCACCTGTTTTTCCTTCCTCCCTTTCTTCTATCCATCCATCCATTTGTCCTTCCATCCATCTATCCACCCATCCATCCATCCATCCATCCATCCATCTACCCACCTACCCACCTACCATCCATCCATCCATCCAGGCACCCATCCATCCATCCAGGCACCCATCCATCCATGCCACACCTGACACCTGCCTGCTGCCCTCAGTGGACAGACCCTCTCCTCGCTGCTGAGGATGTGGCAGCAGCCATGATAGCCATGCAGGTCAGGTGGTGGAGACCATGGCCCTTGATTTGATTTGATTTGATTTTTTATTTATTTATTTTTTTTGGCAGTGCTGGGGTTTGAACTCGAGGCCTTACACTTGGTAGGCAGGCACTTTACCACTTGAGCCATTCCACCAGACCATGGCCCTTGATTTTAAAAAGCACTGAATTCCAGTCCTGGTTCTGCTGCTTCTTGGTGGTGAGGCCTTGGACACCTTATACCTTCTCCAAGCCTCACTTTTGCAGCTGCAGGTGGGGTGAGCGACCGTCCCTTACCTCACAGGCAGTGGTGAAGATTGTCTGTCAAGTGTCTCGTAGGGTGGTGCCTGCCTGGCACGTGGGACACCCAGCCCCCGGGACCTGCTGTTGTTCATGGTATGCTTCTCCCACAGATACTGGTGGGGGGCAGGTATGTCACTGTCCTGCTGGACCCTCACTCCTACGACATGGTGGTGTGGGAGCCACGCACCAGGCTGGACTTCCACGCCTATGCCGTCTTCCTCATGGAGAGGATCTTCGACGTGCAGCTTCCACATTACAACCCCAGTGACGAGAAGGCCAAGATGAAGCCGTGAGTGGCCGGAGATGGGACCTGTGGGTGGGCAGGGCAGGTGCCTGCTTCTACTGGTAGCCCAAGTCCAGGGCAATTGTGCTTGGCCCACAGCAGGTGTCCAGTAGACACAGTTGGATTTTGGGAAAACAAAAGCTAGGGGCTGGTGGAGTGGCTTGAGTGGCACTGCCAAAAAAAAAAAAAAATAGAATTCACAAACCATAGTTAGAGCACCTGGCACAGCCACTCCTCCTGTTCTTGTTGCTACCACAAGGTGTCACTGTTGAATGCAGGCTGTACACAGCCCTGTGGACCTTAAGGTCACTTGCTGCCTTTGTGCCCTATCTCCCCACAGAGGAGCCCAGAGGTCATAGACTTAGACTTAGCCAAAGCTCCCTGTTTCTTGGCTACGATCCCATCCTTGGTCTTGGCTTAGTGTAGACCCTGCATCTCGGAGGCTCAGTCCAGAGCAGAGCAGCTTCTTGCTTCAGCCACATGCTCCCCCAGACTGGGCCTCTCCTCTGACTCATGGGTCCTCAGATAAGACCAGGTTATCAGTCCAGATCCCCCTTTCCTCATGTCACATTCACCTGGGGTCATGTGTTAGCAGTCCTAGGTTGGGGACCCTTAACCGTCCAAACGGGTGTCCCTAACTTGCAGTTCATGGAGAAAGAGTTGGCTTCCTGGTTTCTTCTGTCTTGTCCAAATCTGTGTGGCCTGAGCAGGGATGGACTGTCCTGGTCAAGAACTCGGACTGTGTGGTGGTGCTGACCAGGTTTCGACGCCAGCTGTAGCACTCACCAGCTGTGGGACCTGGGCCAGTCACTGTCCTCTGTCCCCGAGTCTCCATCTGTGCAGTGGGTGTATGGAATGAGATTTCATGATTAGCCCCATGACTGGTAGTTACTGTGGCTGCCATCTTTGATGGTAATAATAATGTCACCTTGTTTAAACTGGTCTTCACAGGCCCATTTCCAGTGGGGAACCCGAGCTCTGGGCCCCCAGTGTTTGGGTAAATGTGCCTGGGGTGCACATTTCCCCTTGGGACTGAACTCTCACGTTTGTTGCTGCCCTCAGGACGCTCCTCCACAGAGACCTGCAGGCACTCACAGAAGCAATGTACACCAACCTCTGCACCATCCTGCTGGGCGACCCCACGGAAGCGGGCGGTGGCTGGCGTGAGACGGGTCTCCTTGATTTCTCCTATAGCTGCCTGCTCAGGTGAGCTCATGACCCCCTCCTTCTCCTGGCTGGGCCTGGCACTTTGGACCTGTGTCACCCACAGGCAGTGGCCGAGGGAACCATGAACACTCTGAGTATGGGGGGCACAATTAAGAGTGGCTCAAAGCAAAGAATGCAGAACATTGTATATCTGGGACCCCAAGTTCACCTGACCCAGCCTCAGCTGCAAAGCAGACACTGGCTGAAAAAAGGCCCTGTGGTCATCCAGAGAGGGAGAAACCCAGCAGGACTTCAGAAACCACCTTGTCCTAGGGCTTCCAGACTCTGAGATTTCACAGGCCAAAAAAAATAAGATATTTGGGAGCTCCACCCAGGGCCTTGACCTGCGACCGGAACTTGTAAAAACCGTGCCTTCCGTCAGCTGCACCAGGCCCTGGGGATACAGCAGGTAACAAAGTAGACAAAGCCCTTGTCAGACAGTAATGAGCTGGATCCACAGAGGGGGACCTGGTACCTGGGGGCACTTTTAGCCGGGCCAATGGCGAGGCTCACTGAGATGGCAGCCTCGGAGCTCAGACTTAGCTGTCGGGCGCCCGCCCTGCCAAGACCCTGGCAGAGGAAATGGCAAATACAGAGGCCCAGGGGTGAAGAAGCTTGGCCAGTGTGACTGGAGCAGATAGGCCAAGGGGCAGGGAGGGGACAAGGTCAGAGGAGTCTCCGGAACCAGGTCTCACAGAGCCTCAAGGCTGCGGAAGCCTTTGGGATTTGCTGTCAGGAGATGGGGTGCCAGTTGGGGCTCACATGAGGGTGTGACGTGATCCCACTTACGAGTTTTAAAGTTCCCTTTGGCTGTTGGATGGGGCAGACTGTGGAGTGAGGGGAATCAGGAGACCCCGGTGAGAGGCAGCAGACCTGGACCAGGGACAGGGCGGGAATATGGGTGACTTCTGGAGCTGTTGCTGCCAGACCCACTGACGGAGCCTGACAGATTTTATCAGGCGGTGGCTGATGGGGGAGCCTGAGTGAAGCTGGCAAGGGAGGAGCCGCCATAAGAACAACTCCTTGCCTGTTAGTGGCACCATTAAAACAGGACATTGCAAACCCCCCAGAAGATTAGAGCCCCATGTTTAAGACATACAGGTGTGCCAGTAATGTGTGACCATGCACCCGTGTAGACTCTGTGTTACCTAAAGTTCACAGCAGCTCCATGAGGTGGTGTTTGACACAGCGCATTTGACAGACGGGAAGGCTGAGACTGGGAGAACCTAAGTCATTTGCCCAGAGTCCCGTTTGGGGGTTGGAGGGGCTGGCTCCTGTGCTCAGCCCCAGCCTTCTGCATGCAAGTGGCATTCCTTCTTGTTTTGCTCAGAGTTGCAGATGTAGCCTGGCTGTAATTGGCCGGGGCAATGCTGGTTCTGTCCACCTGTCACTAAGATGGAGACTGAGGCCTGGAGAGGGCAGCTGGAACTGCCTGGCAGGTTGTCAGCAGGATGGCTCCCAGGTCTTCTGGCTCCTGCCACCATGTGTCCCTGCATGGGCTATGAAGTCATCAAGGAAGCAGTGGGGTCAGCGGGAGGTGGAAGCTGATGTGGTTTTGGCCCAAGGATGGCAAACTCAGGGCAGGAGTCTGGTGTTAATCCACATCTGAGTCTTAGGGCCTGAGGCCTGGGCTGTGCACCTTCCTCCCAGCTTGATGCTGCATGGGGACTTCATGACCATCTACGGCCCTTGCACTGGAAAGGAAGGAAATGGGTAAACTGGACCTAGGGCCACAGACATGGAGGTCCAGGTCCACATGGCCCAAACTGTGAGGTACTGCCACTCAAACTTCCACCCTGTCCTGTGTTGGCCCTCCCTCACCCAGAGTCACATCCAAAGTTCCACTCTGTCCTCCTGTGACCCTGGCCACCTCCCATCACACCACCCTCCTCACAGCCCCTTGCTCAGGCCAGGCACACTCACTCCCCTTTGGGGCTTTGCAGTTTCCAGTCCCTTACCTGGGAGTCCGCCCCCATGTCAGCAGTCACATCTCAACTCAGGTGCCACCTGACATTAACCTGTGGTTTTCCCCTCACCGGGCTCTGGCCAGCTTTGCTTTTCTATATGGCGCCTAGCGCCACCTAGGGGATGTGTGTGATTACTGTCTGTCCGCAGCCGGGTGTTGACACAGACAGGCCTTAGCTTCCACGTGTGCAGTCTCAGTGTCTCCTCAGTTAATTTTTTGGGATATTTTTCATTGCCTGCTTTGGTGGAAGCATAAGTACAGGGACATAGTTCTTTGCTTTAGGAAAAATAACGGCTCCAGTGGGCAGAAAATGATGACTGCTGTTTAGCTGTGGTGTCGCTAAGACCCAGGGCCTGAGGTTCCTGGTGGCCCGGACAGCATTGGGCTGTCTAGAAGGGGCAGCGATGCTGCTGCTCTTGCCAAGGTGACCAGAGGGACTGTGGCCCAGGGTGACAGATACATTTCCCAAGGTGGAGTGAGTGGGAACCCCAGACTCTGTGTGAGGTTCCTCAAATGTCTGAATGGGGGTGCAGTTTATTTTGGGGAAAACTTTATGGACCCAACAAAACCCACTTGTTGGTGCCTCCAGATAGTAGACTACACCTTTCTAACAAAGGCCAGGAGGAGCCTGAAGACCTCAGTCAGGAGAAGAGGGGCCCAGGGTGGCCAGGGGTGGAAGGAAAGGGAGAGAACCTTCCAGCTGAGGCAGAGGCTCTCGGGGAGACTTCCAGCTTTGCTCTGGGAAGGGCTTCCTCCTAGCAGTGGGAGGGGCAGGTGTGAGTCCTCTGTCTCCAGGGGTGTGGACACCAAAGCTGGCTAAGAGAGAGATGAGTGGGAAGGGGACGAAGACTTGGGTCACATTATGATGACCTACAGGTTTCTCTTGTGATCAGAGTCCTCAGGATTAAGTTCTATCTGCCTACCTTTTCAATTATCCATCCATCCCCCCACCCACCCATCCATCCCCTCACCCACCCATCCATCCACCATCTATCCACCGTCCATCCATCCATCCACCCACCCATCCATCCACCCACCCATCCATCCACCCACCCACCCATCCACCCATCCATCCATCCACCCATCCATCCATCCACCCATCCATCCACCCACCCACCCACCCATCCATCCATCCCCTCACCCACCCATCCATCCACCATCTATCCACCGTCCATCCATCCATCCACCCACCCATCCATCCACCCACCATCCATCCACCCACCCACCCATCCACCCATCCACCACCCACCCATCCATCCACCCACCCATCCATCCACCCACCCACCCACCCACCCATCCATCCCCTCACCCACCCATCCATCCACCATCTATCCACCGTCCATCCATCCATCCACCCATCCATCCACCCACCCACCCACCCATCCATCCATCCCCTCACCCACCCATCCATCCACCATCTATCCACCGTCCATCCATCCATCCACCCACCCATCCATCCACCCACCCATCCATCCACCCACCCACCCATCCACCCATCCACCCACCCACCCATCCATCCACCCACCCATCCATCCACCCACCCACCCACCCACCCATCCATCCCCTCACCCACCCATCCATCCACCATCTATCCACCGTCCATCCATCCACCCACCCATCCATCCACCCACCCACCCATCCACCCACCCATCCATCCACCCACCCATCCACCCACCCATCCATCCACCCACCCATCCATCCACCCACCCACCCATCCACCCACCCATCCATTCACCCACCCATCCATCCACCCATCCATCCACCCATCCATCCACCCATCCATCCATCCATCCATCCACACATCCATCATCCATCTACCCATCCACCCACCCTTCAACCACCCATCTATCCATCCACTAAACATTTCCTGCAGGCCTACTGTGTGCCTGCCCTGTGTGGGTGAGAGGCAGATGGGGACTATACAGGCCTCTCTTGGCCCCCACCCTCCCTCGCTCCTGCTTCTCCCCTGACCTCAGCTGGAAAATCCATGGCTGGGGAGGGCTGGGACTTCAGAGACATCTTCCTGTCCAAGCTTTGGCTACTCTCTGGTGGAACAAAGTGAAAGCCTGTGATTTTCCTCTCAGGAGACAGCAAGAAGCCAGCAGCCTGGGGCTGGAGCAGGATCCGGAGTTAGAAAGTGGCTGGGTGTAGCACTTCCTCTGAGAGGCTCACACCCATGTGCACATATGCACTTGAGGGCACATACTAGCTCCTGCGTCTCATCCTTTCCACTCCTGGCAAGGCCCTGTTCTGCTCTGACCTCCCAGAGCCCCTCAGCTCATGTCTGGGCTTCTCACATTCACAGCCCCTCCTGCCTGCTCTGCTCTGGCCTTTGCAGAGGCTGCACCCCCCTGTCCTAACGCCTTCCCCTCCCTCTCCTTGCTGAGCCTGCAGGTGCAGACCCCACCTCCCCCAGGAAGCCTGTCCTGACCCTCTCTAGGGACTCAGGTCTCCTCACTTGGTCTGTCCTCCTCTCCCACTCTGCTTCAGCCTCATGGGTGGCCTCACTGCTGTCCAACATGGCAGCTCCTTCCCTCCTTCCTGTTGCAGGATGCTTGCACCCCCTGTTGTTCTGCCCTGACCCCCTCCTCTGCACTCCCCAGGGTTCCTTCCATTCATCAGTTTCAGTGGGCACCCTCCTCCCCAGCCCTCTCCACGTGTTTGTGTGCCCTTCTGAGCACTGGCGGCATCCAACTGATTGAACCTTTTCCTCTTGCCTGTTGTCTGCCTCCCTGGAACAGGGATTCTCATAGGAGCCATCCCCAGCCTGCTCCTGTGAATGAGTGAGGAGAAACTTCTAGGTTGCCATGGAGGGTTGGCCATGAGTGTCCACAGGGGACCCCTGACCTGTTGCTGTCCTCCCCAGGGCCGGCTACCTGACTCTATACGGAGTGGAGGTCATGCCACACACCCAGGACAGCCAGGCTCAAGACTGTGTCCACTCAGCTGATGTCTTCCACACCTTCCGCCACCTCGAACTGCTGCTCCCTAAACTGGCCCGAGGCTCCCTGTCAGCAGGTGAGCACCTGGGGTCCCAAGGGTGGTGGGGCAGAGAGAAAGACCAGAGAGTCTTTCCCCTGGAACCACCAAGGAGGGACACTCTGTGTCCCTGGAGGCAGAGGATTCCCTTGTGGGGAGGATGCAGAGCACATCTGGGGCCTAGGATTCTTGTGTGTGTGCTCTCTCTTGTTTTAAATTGCTTTAAAATTTTTTTTTTTACAAGTACGTCATACTTAATGAAAAATTCAATCCAAGATAATTTAGAAGGAATGGTAAGAGAGTTCTCCACTTTCTCCCCATCCCCAGCCCACCACGACCCTCTACAGAGTTCAGCACTGTTTCTAGTTTGGAGCACATCCTGGCAGAGCTTTCTCTAAACAGACACACACACACACACACACACACACACACACACACACACACACACACAATTTTATTGCTTTCTGTTTTCAATTCTTTTTTTTATGGAGGTATAATTTACTCACAGGAAAGCACATAGTCTGACCCATGAAGCTGAGGGCAGAGCTAAAGATTTCATGCCCCTTCCCAGCCACTATTCACCCCCCAAAGGAGCCACAGATCTGGTTTCTTTCACCCCCAATTAGTTTTCCTGTTCTTGATCTGCCAGTAAGCACAGTTACACAAGGCGTCCTTTTTTTGTGTCTGGCTTCTTTCACTCCACTTAATGTCTATGCAGTTCATCCAAGTTGTATTAACAGTTTGTTATTTTTCATTGCCGAATAGTATTTCACCAGAGTAAAAAAAGTATTTCACCCTTTTTCTGGGTGATAGACATTTGGGAGCTTCCACTTGGGGAGTGTTACATGTCACAATGTTCATGAACATTGTTGTGTGTGTCTTTTGACGCTGACGTGGCCTTGCTTTTGTTAGCTACAAGCCTGTGCTTTTACAAAGTACATGTGTCATGCTGGAAGAATTGTTCTGATACTTTGCTCTTTCATGGAACACCGTGTGAGGAACGTTCCCACATCAGTTTGGAAAAAACTGCCTCACTTGTTTTTGTGGCTACAGAAGGCACTTGGTGTTGACAAAGAGCTTCTTCCTGGTTCCTTCAATTCATAGGGTCCTTGGGGACCACTGGGCTGCATTGTCCCCTGGGCCTGCATGTCTCAGACTTCCTTGATGAGAATATCCCTCTGGGGTGCTAGTTAGTAGCCCAGGTCCCGAGCAGAGCCCCCTCCTCGGGTCCATTCAAATTCACATGCCCCAGGGAGATCCAGCAAGCCGTGTTTGACAAGGGCCAGGAGAAGTTCTGGAAACACTGTGTCCCCTGCAGCAGAAGCCTGGCCCGAACCTCTGCTCTGCTCTCTCCCTGCTGGTAACTGGAGCAGATGACTTCTTCCTGTCCCAGTCGCCTTGCTAGAGGCACAATAAAGGGGAGGGGAGACAGACTGAGGCTCTGACAGTTTGGGATGGTGTGCTGGCTCCACGTCCTGCAGCTGGAGACCTCCTGAGTGGAACAGGAAGGACAGAGGGACTGTCCTACAGGGCAGTGTCAGCACTGGCTGCAGTCACGAATGACACTGCTTGCTGGGCACTTTGTGCTGCGTATCATTTGGCAAGGCACCATCACACTAGTGTTCAAACACTGCGGCCCCTATTAGCAAATGATCCGGTACTGTACCTAGAAACCCCTAGAAAATCAATGATAAAACCAATTCAAGCAAAAAAAGAATCCAGCTACATAGAAAGATAGGGAATTAACATAAAAGCACAGATGTTTTTCTAGTCAGCTCCATCTGACAGAGATTTTCATTTTCTTTTTCTTTGCTATCACAGTATTCCATTGTCCTTGTATCTGTCCTACCATCTCGTGGTTTTGCGTCTCTCTGACAGTTTCCCGCAAGTAGGTTTGCCAGGTCAAAGGCCATACATGTTAAAGAAATTTTTTTTGCAGTGTTGGGGATTGGACCCAGGGCCTTGTGCATGCCAGGCAAGCGCTCTACCACTGAGCTGCACTCGTTTCCTTTTTGAGACATATCTCACTGTGTACCTCAGACTGGCCTGAACTCTTTTCCTGCCTTAGCCTCCAACATGCTGGCATCACAGGTATAAAACTTTTATTAGCTGCTGTCGCGTTACTTCCAAAACCCTGGAGCAAGGAAAGCAGACTGCCACCCCCGGCGGATGTTTTCCATCTTCCCACGTGCTTGCAACGTGGGGGGCAGAGGCTGAATTACTGTTTTCATTTGTTCTGTTGCAACCTTGTCACCATGAAGGTATCAGCCTTTAAATCCTTGCCAACCTGACGGGCAGAAAGTTCACCTGGCTTTCTGCTCATTTCCTGGTCACCGTGTCTCCCTAGCCCTTTGCAGTTCCTCTCTGGGGGCTGTCTCCTATCATCTTTTCACAGACAATTCGTGATCTAATAGATTCCTGCCATCATGGCTGGAAGGCCGGTACTGATACTTTGCAGATACGACACTGAGAGGTGACATCACCTGTCATAGACACAGCTGGTATCCAGCTCAGCCAGCAACATGGAAACTTTGTCTGATTGCCAGCTCTTGTGTGGTAAACCCATGCCGAATCCCAGCACCAGCTGCTTCTCCAGGAATTGTGCTTCCTCCAGGAAGCTGGGAGGAGGCAGGGGCCCCTCCATCATTCTGGGGCAACCCTGCACTGAGTGTAAGAAGACTGCACTTCCTACTGTGGACAGCAGGTGACAGTGTTGGAGGGACAGTCTCTTAGAGCCAGAGACTGGAGGGTAAAGCAGCTTCAGACCTTGATTGTGCTGTGCGGGCAACTGGGCTGCCTCTCTGGAAGACGCATTGGGCAGAACCTACCAAAACGTCAAGGGCACGTCCTTTGCTCTTGAACTCCCACTTCTAGGACACGATCCTACAGAAATACTCGCACATGGCTGCAGAGGCACGATGTTCTCTGTCACATTGCTTGTGATAGCAAGGGTAGAAACACCGTAAATGTCCACCAGTCGGGACAAATTAATAAATTATGCGTCTTCTAATGCAAACTGTGCAGCTGTGACAAACGCTGTGTGCCGGCCAAGGGCGAAAGGGAGGGCCCTGTGTGTGTGGAATGGTGGCTGGGGTGGCCATCCTCTGTCTAGTTTTTAAATGTGGATGTGCCTAGAATTTTGCCTTTGGGAAAACTGAGATGGGGTGGAGAGAAAATGACTTTTTACAATATGCCGTTTGAACTCAGTTTCTTTTTCATTGTTCTTATTTTTCACTGTGTGCATGTGCTAATCTACCGCTTTCAAATATGAATGCATGTTAAAAGAAAATCGGCCACTTGGGAGCTGCTACACCATTGAGGCTCCTGCTTTTCATAAAGTAGGGAGCTGGGGGAGGGGACAGTGAACTAGAGGCCCAAGCTAAGCAAAGTAATTCTTTCTGGAACCTTTTACTGGATTCTTCAGAGAGGCTGTTTTATTTGAATATTGTTTTGGGGGAGGGGAGAGGCATTTTAAATCAAAGAATCACGGTTGGAGGCAAACTTTAATGCATTTAAAAGACAAAACTCAGACTTTGAAGACATTCTCCACTGGTGGTCACTTCAGATCCTGTCCCTCAATCTCCAAGACCTAGAAGTGTTTGCAAGGAAAAACTTGGGAAAGCAGAGTCTGGGTCCTCATTTTATGGATGGGGACACCGAGGCCCAGAGGTGGGCAGGGCCTCAGTTAAGCCCACACAGCACAGGGCATCAGTGTCTCCACCCCCCAGCCACCTGCCTCTTCTGTTCCAGACACTGGGACAGCGGTGATGGTCCCATGATGCTTTCTAGTTGTCATAAAAGCTGTGTTGACAGCACTATGTGAGATTGCACTTGTTTGGCCAGACATCAAAGAATGCCAGGTGTTTCCATAGCTCTAGCTATGCTGATTTCCTTTGTCTCTTTATGACTCTCCTGTCAGGTGACACCCATGAGCATCCACAACTGGCACCAGTCGGGTGGTGTCATGGCCTGGGTGCCACACAGTCACCTGTTTAAATCCCAGGATGCCCAGGCCCTACCTTGATGATTGCAACAGCACCAGCCTATGGTGGGGCCTGGGCATCAGAGAGTTAGGAGGGCCCAGGGACACTAGAAGCCTGACAAGTTGGGAAGCCCAGGAAAATAATCCACTTCAGATGAGCACGTGAGCTCAGTGCATTAAATCCAGAAGGTATGTCACCTGAGCCAGGGTCAAGAGATGGAAGAAAAACATGCCAATCCTGTTAGTTGAAAATGTAGCGAACCCAATTTTTGTTTGCTTGCTTGTTTTGTTTTTAGCGGGTGCTGGGATTTGAACTCAAGGCCTTGAGCTTGCTAGGCAGGTGCTCTACTTCTTGAGCCTCGCCTCAGCTACTTTAGTTTTAATCCCCCCTCTCCATCTTTGTAGAACAATTTCAACAGGACAGCTGCTTTTCAGAAAGTAAGTTTAACCTACACTTTCCACTCTTCAACTCCCTGGAAACTGCAGCCAGGTTAGAACCAGGAGGCTAGGGCCTCCTGACACACAGGTTTGTGTTCAAAACTCTCAGCCAGAGAGTTGCAGCCACCCAAGGTGACTCCCACTGTCCCCAGGGGACACAAAGAATGCAGTGCGTCTAGGATATGATCAAATGCTGTCTATGCTGTCATGTATGCATTGCCTTGGAGCCTACAGAGCACATGTAAGTGACATCTTTGTGCCAGGATCCTCAGCGCCTGGCTTTGTTCCCCTGACAGGCTGCTCTTGGGTCCAGCTTTGTACCCAAGAAATCTCTTTGTTTTCACTCTTCTTTGGTTTTTCTAGAGCATAAACATGGGTTGTTTATTTAATGTCAACTTGCAAGCTGGTGTCCTTGGGACACAGCTGACCTTAGAAATGCTTTTGTGGCCTACATAGTGATTAAAACCTTCTTACTTAGATGCCAACATTAAAAAAACACTAGAAGAGGGTGGAGTGCTCAGTGGAATAGCATGTACCAGGCCCTGGGTTTCATCCACAGCCCCCCAGACACCCCAGCAGAGGCCACACCAATTCCTGAATTTTCAGGGTCTGGCCACATGGAGCCACTCACTAGGTCTAGGTCGTGCTGAGGGCTGGTGCTGGAGCCGAGTGGGGCCGCCCTGGCTCTTCAGCTCAGCATGGCCTCTTCCTGGCTGTCCTCTCACCTACCTGCCTGCCAGGGTGCTTTACGTTGAGGTCCCAGATCAGTCTCCCAGCCAGCCATGGTCAGTGTGACTCCTCTCTGTTTTCCCGAGCTGCTGTGCTGAGTCTGCCTGTGGTCATGTGTGCCTGGGGTGGCACTGCCCTGGGACAGGCCCCAGGAGGGTCACCACTGCTCTGTGGTTAGTTCTCCTGGACAGCATTGGAAAGAAATCCGTTCAGTTAGTGTGTATTTATTGAGTACCTGCTGTGAACCAGGTGCTGGGGCTCCCAGACAAACAAATCAGATAGGCCCCTCCTGCTGGAGTCATGCTCCTTTCTGCCGAGGCTTAGGTGGGTGGTGAACAAGGTGGCCTTCAGGACTCTCCTGCCTTTCCAGCCCCAGGTTCTGTCCCCACTGCCTCACTCCCACTGGAACTCTGCATCTCCACCAAGCCACACCTGCCCTCAGCACGACCAAGTGAGTGGCTCCATGTGGCCAGACCCTGAAAATTCAGGAATTGGTGTGGCCTCTGCTGGGGTGTCTGGGGGGCTGTGGATGAAACCCAGGGCCTGGCACATGCTATTCCACCGAGCATACCGCCCCCCTCTAGTGTTTTTTTAATGTTGGCATCTAAGTATGAAGGTTTTAATTACTATGTAGGCCACAAAAGCATTTCTGAAGCCCTATGGCCAAATGGAAGGCTAGGGCTGGGCTGCCCTGGGCTAGGGGTGTACCTGTAATCTTCACCTTCTGTGCTCTGTCCCCGCAGGGGATAAGGACCGTGTGCGCAGCGCAAAAGACCGCCTGTGGAAGCTGCTGTCCCCAGCTAGGCTGGCCCTCCGGGCTCACCGGAGCAGCTGGCTGGAGAGTTACCTGCGGCACCTGGAAGAGATGGGGGTGTCCGAGGAGATGCAGGCACGGGCACTGGTGCTGCAGCTATGGGCCACACAGGTGGGCCTGGGTGTGTGTGCAGGTGTGGGATGCACAGGTGGGCCTGGGTGTGTGTGCAGGTGTGGGATGCACAGGTGGGCACGGGTGTGTGTGCAGGTGTGGGATGCACAGGTGGGCGTGCCAGTGTGCATGTGTGAGCAAGGGCGCACCTGGCCTGTGTGTGGTTTGTGAGCACCTGCCGATGTGAGGGGACGTGGCTATGTGTCCACGGCCTATGGTTGGTCCTGCCTTCCTTCACCACCCAGCAGCATCAGGAACAAGACATCCACCCAAAGGCTCTCTTTTGAAGAGTTGTATGAATAGTTTAGTGGATTATATGCACGTTGCTTCAAGTCTCAAATCCTTAGCACTGCACCCCACTTCCTTTCTGTCCCTCTCCCCCACTGTGATGATGTCACTGAATGGTTTGTGGAAAACCTGCAAACGCCTCCAAGACTCTTCACCTGTCATTTGCATTTCCCAGACACAGGTGCACCCTCCTACACGACCACGGTAAGTACCAGTGCAGGACCGCAGACCCAGGTACTCCGGGTCCTTGGATGTCCACTCCACACTCCACTGCCAGTTGTCCCCATAATGTCTTTTATGTCCCATCTCAGCCCAGCATGCAGTCCAGCTTCTCGTGTGGCCTTTTGCCCCCTGACTCTTTGACCAAGCTGGTTCTGCTCCTTCTTTGCTTTTCACCACCTTGACGTTTTTGAAGAGTGCAGAGCAGTTGTCTTGAGGAATTATTTAAATGCTCTGTGAGTCCTTACCACAGGCTGTAAGGATCTGGCTTTGCATTGCATGTTAGCTGGAGTGGGGCAGGGAGCAGTCAAGAAAACCTGTAAAGAGCAGTTGCAGCTGCTATTGGGCAGGGCGGGAAAGGGATCTCTGCATGGAGATGTCCTGGGAGTCTATTCCAGCTGTTATCGTCAGGAAGACCCCTATGGAATAGAGATTTTGAACTACTCCTGGGGTGACAAGAAAGCTGGACTTGTGGACCTGGGAAAGATGTGGGACTATAGTATTTCAGGAACAGGAAACAGCAAGTGCAAAGGCCCTGGGGTTGCCTCCTGCCTGGTGTTGGGGCAATAGCAAGGAGTCAAGTGTGCCTGAAGCAGAGTGAATGAGGGGGAGTGGGGCTGAAGGAAGAGGTCGCAGAGTACCTTGTAGGTCCTGGTAAATGAGGACCTGGGATTCTCCTTCAGGTGAGGTGGGAGCCCTCAGAGAGTCTTGAGCACAGGAGGGGCAGGGTCTTAGGAGCCAGGGCAGGAGCAGGGCACAGTGAGGAGGTGATGGGGAAGTGGCTGGACTTTGGCAACTTGACAGCCGGCAAAGTTAGTAATGGGCAGATACTAGGATGAAAGCGCACAGGCACCTTGCATGCTGTCGTTCCCCAGGCCTGCTTCCTGTGCTCAGCCCTGGACCCTGAGCCCTCCCTCTCTCTTGGCCCCAGTCCACAGGGACAGTCTCACAGGCTGGCGTTTCTGGGTAATTCCTCACCCATCAACTGGAACTTATTTTTATTTCTCTTAGAGCCATTTGCCGTCCTTGCAGGCAGAGGCTATCGAGGGGCAGGGGCCGCGTTTAATCAGCAGTGGCCCATAAGTCCTGATGACATATTTACGGGCTGAAATGACTTGAAGCTCCAAACTGTTCCCAGAGCCCCTTGTGAAAATGACCGCCATCAGCTGACTCTGGCTGGGGTCTTAAGTGGCTGAGAGTCCAGGAACAGCCTTGGGTAGGGCTGGGAGAACTGGGTGGGAGTGGGAGATAGCATCTAGCCCTTGAGCAGGTGGGGACCTCCAAGGGGAGTCCTGGAGGTCCTGGCTTTGGTGCCAGCTCTGCAACCTACATACCTGAACTGAAGTGGCTTTGCCACTTCCTGGCAAGTCAGTCACTTCTTCCTTCAGCGCCTCAGTTTACCTGCCTGTACAGTAGCCACGACAGCTCCTTCCTCAGGATGGCCCTGAGGGTAAAAGGAAGCTTCTGACCTGTGCCAGGCAGGTAGCAAGAGCTTGGCAAATATTTCAACAAATACTTGTCGGCCTCCTGTGTGCTGAGCCTCATTCTAGAAGGTGGGCGTAGGAGTTGGAGGCAGAAACTGGGATCTGGCTTGGGGTGGGTCAAATTTGAGATGGAGATGACAGATGGACAAGGTGGGGTGCAGGAGGGAGATGGCCTGGGGAACCTGTCCATGGCGAGATGGTGTTTAATGCCATAGCTCGGGGAGGTCTCTAGGGGTGAGAGTGGAGGGACAACAGGCCAAGCCCTGGGGCTCCACAGTTATGGGGGTCGGGAGGACTGAGGGGAGGCCCATGCAGAATGCGCCTGGAGGCTGAGAGGGAGAAGCATGTCACTATGATGGCTATCCTCGCGTCAGGGACGATGAGTCTGGAATAACATGGAATCATAACTGAGTTCCTATAGTCTCATGGGACCTTGCAAAGCTCATGAAGCCAGAACCACAGGTGCTGGAACAGACGGGGCCAGGGGACAGAGGAGATGCCAGCATTCAGGGGGATGGAGGACCCTCAAGGCTGAGATTTAAGGTCCAGGCAGAGGGGGAGCGGTAGAACTAGGGGGTGGGGGTAAACGGGGCAGAAGGAGGACTCACAGAGGCCACCCCAGCAGGACACTGGGATAAGCTGCCTTCCAGCTCTGAACCTCAGACACAAACTGATGGTTCGCTCCCTTGGCCCCCGGCCACCTTTCATCCTCCTCTTCCTTACTCCACTCCCCACCTCCCATGGCCTTCAGCCCAATCACATCTTCAGTAGCCATGTGTGGCCCCATCACCCCAGAGCCCCAAGATTCCTGGGAGGTCCTGAGAATGAGGAGGGTCCATGGGAGCTGCAGGCTGGGTCGGCGGTCAGCTCAACCGAGTCAGCAGGTAAAGAGTTTCAAGGCCCTGTCTACATACGGGTCAGAAGCCTGAGCACAGCCTTGGGTGAGGTCAAATGGACAGGACACAAGAACCCAGCTCAGCATCCATAAAGAGGAGTGTTTTTCCTTTTCTTTTCTTTAATAGCTTAATTTTGAAATAATACTAAGTTATAGAAGAGTAAAAAAGATAGTACATGGAACCCCCAAATAAATACCCAGCCTCGCTATGTCACCAACCATGATGCATTTCTCAAAACTGAGACGTTAACCTTGGTTCATTCCTGTAAAGTCCACACTTTCTTCAGATTTCCCTAGTTTTCTGCTAATGTCCTTTTTCTCTTCTAGGATCCAATCTAGGATGCCCCCTTGCACTTAGGGTTTTGTTTGTTTGTTTTAAATAGACTTTTTGGGGGCAATTTTAAGTTCACAACAAATTTTATGAAAAGTTCAGGGGCTTCCCCTATAACCCCTCCCAGCCCCTCCAGCATCAATTTCCCCCCACCACAGAGGTGCGTTTGTTAGAATTTATGAATTTCATTAACACCTCATTACTATGCTTAGGGTATTTGTTTATTCCTGTTTTTTGTAACTCACAAAATTAAAAGAATTATGGTCTGTGATGTCCCCTCCGTCAGTCAACTCCATCCTCAGATCCTCCCCCCACCGCCCTGTTGGTGGCCTTGATGGCTCTGGCAGTTTAGAGTGATGGGAAGGGCTTCTCTTTCCCACAAGATTAACACAAATCCTAAATCTGACCCTCACGCCCTACCTGGGTCACCGTCCACACTGAAGTCTGGAAGGACAAGTTGGTTCCAGGTGCTCCACGTGGACTTAGAGTGAAGTGAGGTGCTTCTCCAAAGGGAAGGGAGCACTGTTACCCTAGAACAGTGGGGTGCCCAGGCTGGGGTCAGAAGGCAGCAAGGTGGGGCATAGAGCGAGCCCCCCCTGGAAGTCAGCTATATTGCTCAGAGCTGAGGCAGAGCTGAGGATGGCACTGCTGATCATGGACTATGGCTGCAGCAGGAAAAATGGCTTCCTGGGAAAACTGAGGCAAGGCCCCACAGGGGAAATCCAGGATATCTTCTGGTTGTGTGATGTGTGCATGTGTACACACATCTGTGCAGTTGGTGGGAGGCCGGTCATGTTGATCACCTCCCTAATTGGCCTCAATGTTTTCATGCAGGCAGAGCTAACCAAGCACTCAAGGATCCCACTCCCGATAGGTAATCAATATTTAATGAGTGGTGGTCCATCTGACCACCCAGGCAAGATGAGATGACTCTGGCGCCAAGCTAACTCACTGCTGAATTATTCATCACCCACTCTTCCCTGGCTATCCAAGCGACACACAGCAAGTGACCTTGTTGTCTCAGCCAGCCGTGGGGCTGGAGGGAGTCCCAGAGATGCCCGAGGCCCCCACTTGCTCTCAGACCTGGAGGAGGGGCTGGTGGGAGAGGGCTGCCCCCTTTGGAGTGCTCCTCCCTGTGGATGTGTGGATCTCTTGCATGGGTCCACAGGCCCAGTGGTCACCCAGGAGTGAGAACTGTTATCCCATTGTGCCAAGGATGGTTCTGAGACCCGGGCGGGGGGGTGGGGCTTGTCCACAGCTGCAGAAGGGGAAGTGAGGAACTAAGATTTGAACTGACCCTGCCTGATTGTAGTCCAGGCCTCTTCCAGCTCACCCCAAGGCTGTCTTGAAGCCGTGGGGCCAAAAGGGACACAGGTATAGTGAACCCCTACCGTGTGGGGACAGGGAGTAGTGCAGGGAGAACTTCATTCTCCTTGTTAGTAAAATTCCCAATAACCATGCACGTTCTGAAAGAGGGACCATGGAGCCTTCTCCGTGCGGAACTCACAGAAGGTGAAAACAGAAGACTTGCCTTACCATCAGGTTTCTTTCTTCACACTCCTCTCCTTGTTTTTGTTCTGCGGTGAAGGCTGTGCACCTGTTTTAATCCGGCTTCTGTTTGGCTCCCTGTCATACTGTGAGCATTTCTCCAGGCATGGGTCACTCAGAAAATCATTCATGCTATTCTACTTAAAAGCAGTGCCTCTGTCTAACAAGTTCAAGCAGCTTTAAAGGGTATGTGTATGCAAGCAAGGTCAGTCCCCCTTCCATTCTACCAGCTTCTGTCCCAGGGGCGACCTTAGGACCAGTTCCTGTGTCTCCCAGGCACAGTCTATGCCTCCTCGTACAATCCCCTATCAGACACACGCACAGTGGCGGCGCACAGAGCCCACGATCACTCCTTGCTGTTGCATGGCTACCGTGTGTCATGGCTACTGTCCACATAGCCGGGTGCCTGGGTTCTTCTTAACAACTTTGCATGTCACATTGTAGCTGGATCATCCCTCATCTCACTGATCTGTTGACACCCATGGAACTTCTTTCTAATTTTTTGCTATGACATCAACACTGTGGTTAAATATCTCTGTGCATATGTCCTTTGACCATCTGCAGTTATGTCTGTAATGAAATTGCTGGGTAAATATGACATATATGATAATATAATATTCCATCATTATAATTGGCTGGGATAGTCATTTTTTATTTTATTAATTTATCGACTGATTGATTTTTGGTGGGAATGGGGTTTGAATTTGCAAAGCAGGCATTCTACCACTTATTCCACTCCTCCAGTTCTAGGCTAGTCATTTATGATAGACAAAAACCTTCCCCCATATTGAGGCTGGCAGGCATTCCATCCCCCATGGGCCAAGTAGTTGAGCCCATGTGTCTATCCGCAGTTCATCCAAGGCTAAGCTGCAGAGCTAGGCAGCTCACCAATTTCCCTATGACTTATCTATTGGGAAGTCTCAAATAATTTTTGTTCAAAAGATCAACAGCTTTCATAGTGGACGTCAATTGTCGCTGCTCTTCACACACAATTATTCTTCAGGTAACTGATAGAATTATAGCATGTGAAGCCTCGAAGGAAACTCTGTCTCAACCTACATTTAGACAGTGTGTCAGTTAGCTCTGGTTGAGAATAAGCAATGGCCAAAGCCTGGTGGCATTCCCACACCATATAGCATTCATTTCACTCACAGAATATGGGTCTAGCTGGTATAAACCGGACATAGCTAGAACAGCTGAGCTTTGTCCATGTGTCTGTCATTCTCCTCTGGACCCAGGGGCTGCTGGACAGGTGGAATCAAAAAGACCTCACGTGACCTAGGCTTAGAACTGCTGCTCTGCCGGTTATACCTCATTCTGTCCTCCAGAGCAAGTTCATGGCCAAGCCCAAACTGAAGGGTAGGGGAACTGCCTCTACAGAGTTCAGTAGCACTGCAGCAGCACGTGGTAAGGGTCACGGGTGTGGGATGGTGAAAGCTGGGGCCAGTAGCATAGTCCTCCTCAGATTTCACAGCAGTCTTAGTTGACATGCCTTGTCCCTGTTGCTAACTCTGCCCTGCTGGTGAGTCGTGAAGACCGCTGTGACCTCACACCAGTATTTTGCTTAAGATCAAGATGCCAGGAGTGGCCCTGAAGGAGCCCCCAAGCTTGGTCAAAGCTCCAAGCAGATTTCGGCCATGGCCCAAGGTCGATGAAGGACAATGGTCATGCCCAGATGCTTGGCGTGGTGAGAGCCCCGGGCTTGAGTAGGGGCTGTGTCCATAGCTCAGACCAGCCAGCTTGGCCCTCTGGGCCATGTGACAAGGGCTCCTTCTCATTGCAGGGGAACATGGGCCCCGCCGCCTTCTGGCTCCTGCTCTTCCTGCTCAAGAATCCCGAGGCCCTGGCTGCTGTCCGCAGAGAGCTGGAGCACGTCCTCTGGGGGACAGAGCAGTCTGGCTCGCAGTTTACCACCATCCCGCAGAAGGCTTTAGACAGCATGCCTGTACTTGGTGAGATGGCCAGAGCCCCAGGAATGGGTCTTTGCTGGCCCCCTAGGGAACCTAGGCTCCAGGGCCCATTAGTGTTCTTTGACCCAGGGTCTCCCCGAGACCTGGCATCTCCATGCCCCCGTCTCAGCTGCCAGAGACTCATAGTCTCTATAGGAGATTTTTGGTTGCAAGTGACAGAAAACCTAAACTGGCTGAAGTGGAAAAGGGACTTCATTTGGGCCATGCAACTAAAAAGTCCAGAGGTACTGGCTTCAGGCAGAGGTGGCTCCAGGTGCTTAAACGATATCATCAGAATTCTGTCCCTCTTCAGCTCCTTTCTCTTCAGTGGGTTGGCTCCAGCCTCAGGCCAGCAAGATGGCTGACAGCAGTTCAAGGCCAACTTCCCTGGCCCTGAGAGGGTGGGTTTGTCTTCCAACATTCCTAACTACAGTCCCGAGAGTGTGTCTCATTGGCTCTTTAGGTCACACACCTCTCCTGAACTAGTCAGGGCTCAGAGGAATTCTCTGATTGGCCAATCAAAGCCCACTTCTACCAGCCCAACCCATGAAAGTTGGAGAGGGTTGGGTCCCAGAGGAAAACCAGGGGACTGTTTCCAGAAGGGGATGTATGCTGGGCCAGCAGAAGCAGACACAGATGGCCCTGCTCTCTTTTAACCTGAAACCTCCCTGGCTCCCACCTTTCCCCCACAGTTTTTCTTGGAGTTGACCTGGACCCCCTCCTATTCGGGGATCTCTGAGGGATCACAGAGATTCCATCTCATCACCTGGCCTTGTCCACCTCGCTGTGTGACTGTGGGCAAGGCACACACCTCTCTGAATCTCTTTATCTTCCTCTAAAATGAGAGCAGGAAGTGACGTCTGAGCAGATGAGAGAGCAGTCTGCTGACCCTTCTTGCACTCACCCTGTGCAGACAGTGTCCTGAGTGAGAGCCTCAGGCTCACGGCTGCACCCTTCATTACCCGAGAGGTCGTGGTGGATCTCACCATGCCCTTGGCAGATGGGCGGGAATTCTCTCTACGACGTGGTGATCGCCTCCTCCTCTTCCCCTTCCTGAGTCCCCAGAAGGACCCAGAAATCTACACAGACCCTGAGGTAAGTAGCAGGGCCCGCTGGTTGCACCAGTGACTGTGGTGGTGGTGAGAAAATCAGTGATGTTGGGACCAGCCAGATCTGAGTGGCAGCTCAGCTGTGCTCTCTGCTTGCTGTGTGGCTTTGTCTGGATTGCACCACCTCTCTGTTCCTCACCTTTGAAATGTATTTCCTGAGAGCACCTGCCTCATGGGCTTGTCAGGAGGATCACATAAGAATGAGTAAGGAAAGGATGTCACAGTGCCTGGCATACACTGAGTTCTCCTTAGGCTATAGCTGAGAGACCTCCCCCTAATGTATCAGTTTCCAGATTGGATGCTTACTGTGTGCCAGACCCCATGCTACAAGCTCATCCACCCATCCACTTGTCTCTCTATCCACCCATCCACCCACCCATCCATCCACCCACCCATCCATCCATCCACCCATCCGTTCACCCATCCATCCATCCATCCACCCATCCATCCATCCTCCCAATCTAACCTCCCGAGTAGGTTGGGATGGCAGGCGTGTACCACCACACCCAGCTTGGCATTCTCTTTTTTAAAAAGTAGTTTTAATTTCTTATTGTACATTACAAAAGTATTATGTATTTATCATAAAATAGGAGTATATAAAGTGAAAAAAAATGCCCTTCTCTTTCCTCTCTAGCTCCAGAGTTCCTGGTTTGGAACATGTGTTTGTTTTTGGAGTGTTTTTATATTGCTTTTTACTGGCACACCCACACCGCCTATGCTGCACACATGAATGGGTGGGCGTTTGTGCAAGATTACACAGTACATACGTTCTGGTATTTGCTTTTTCCACTTGACAGCCAGTCATAGAAATTCTTTCGTGTCAGCACACACAAACCTTTGCAATTGATTTTTAGCTAAGGCTGCATCGGCTGACCTTTATACCTGTCCAGTTTCCCCCTCTTTTAGACACATCCAAAAGATGCACATCTGTGTGCCTTTTTCCTGGTGCAGGCTTGTTTGGGAGGGCGGTTACACCTTCTTCCTGTTTCAGGTGTTTAAATACAACCGATTCCTGAACCCGGATGGATCAGAGAAGAAAGACTTCTACAAGGATGGAAAACGGCTGAAGAATTACAACATGCCTTGGGGAGCTGGGCACAATCAGTGCCTGGGGAGGAGTTACGCAGTCAACAGCATCAAACAGTGAGCGGGGGCGTGCTCATCTGGTTGGGACACTCATGTCCTTCTCTCCTGATATAGAAGGCTTCTGGCAAATGGTTCAGGGCAGAGACTCCAAACTGGCAAAAAAGTTCTTTTGCCAAAAATCTATTTATTTGTATTTCTTAAACTGTGTGCTTACGTTTAAAAATTAGAAGTGCTCACTTAAAAGCCGGATTTCTGATTTCTTTTGACATAATCAGATCTGACAGCAGGTTCTTCAGTCTATGAGCAGTGTCCAAATGCAAATACTGGATGTCTTGTCCAGCTGCTCCTGCGGCATGTTCAGACCCCTGTCATGGAAACTGGCTTAGCTCTTTTAACTTGGCGGGGGGGAGGGAGGGGGAGGTGAGAGCCTCATAAATTCTGTTCATTGTACCCTGAGAGTCGTAGCCCCCAGGACCACAGCCCTGCCCCCATTGTCCTGTGTGACCTCGTGTAGCCAGATGCTGGATGACCTGAGCCTGTATTCTCTCGATTGTGAAGTGGGGGTCATCGCAGGCTTTGAACTGTTAGTTAGGGCCACAGTCATTCATATTCACATCCTGGCGATATGCTAAGACTCATTAACCTCTTGGCTTCAGTTTTCTCAACAGTAAAGTGGAAACGAAAATACATATGGCTCCTAAAAATCACCTCACTGCGTGAGATCATGCCATGGAAGCCACAGGGGTTATGGGGAAGGAGGCTGGGACTCAGCATTAAAAGCCTTACCAGCAACACAAATAAGATGCCAGTAAAGACCAGCAGCACCATTTCACACGTGAAGTGGTTAAGACACGCTTAAGCGCTCGTGACACGTTCAGGTGTGCGTGTGCACGCGTTGTGCGAATTTCTGCCCACCAGTCTCAGTTGGCTACCATCTCTGCTTCAGCTCATGTTTCTTGCAAATGAAACTGCATATGAGCAAATGCGAATCTGCCCTGATGTATCAGTCACGCTGGGACAAATCCACGCGTTCAAAACAAGTATTGTGATAGAACTGGCTGTAGTTCCTACTGTCTCTTTAATGCTTAGTCTGCTCCCTAGCATGTTGGTTTTCAATAAATTAGCTCATTTGTTATTTTTTATCTCAGTCGGCATGGCCACCTTGCTAGGTAGTTATCCATTCAAAGCAGTCTAGACAGGTCATATCTGGAAGGTATGGCCATGCACCCTGTTAGAGGAGGTGCCAGGATTCAAATCCAGGTGTGGGTCACAAGCCCCCATCCTGGATAAATCCATCCTCCAGAATCCTACAGCTCAGAGCCGGAAGGGACCCATCCCCCTTTGACCTGGAGTGGGAACAGAACCTGGTGAGGGTCACATGCCCTTAAGTCCAGAGTGCTATTCCCTCCGTCCTCATCCTCTGCTTCTTCCCTCTGTCAGTAAAAGGAGAGCGGCCCTGTGTGCTCATCCTGCATCAGGCCCCTGGGTCAGGTGGGGACAGTGGTGGGACATAGAGGAGCACAGGTAGTGGCAAGTAATAGAGCTGGGAGGCAGGAGCCTGTCATCACCTAGTTGGGGCACTGATGACATAACCCCAGCCGATTTGCATATCTCTCAGGCAGTTTCCCAGAAGGTGGCGGTAGAGAGCACTAGTCTTGCAAAGTTGGTCCATGCTGACAGCTTGGGCACACACAGGGGTAAGATGTATTGAGGGAGGAGTGATGTCTCAGACACTGATGGGCGACCAGCAGCCCTGGCCAGGACAGTGGGGGTTGCAGGAGTTTGGAGAAAGAGGGTGAGGCGGCAGGAGGGCCAGGAGGCTGCAGTCTCTCCAGGATGAGCCAGGCCATGCTGCTGGAAGGGGTGGCCAAGTCTGGGGGCTGAAAACCACACAGGTGAGCTGGGCTCAGGGCTCTTCCCTTCTGCAGAGCCACAGGGCCAGGCTTGCTTCCTCTGGGGCTCCACCATCCATCCTCACAGGAAGCTGCACGGCTGCTAGGCAGAAGAGAAAGCTGGTGAGTCACGCCCTGGTTCTTAAGTGCTTTGGTGTGGAAGTGACACTGCCACTTCTGGCTGGAGCTCCCAGGCCTGCCACACCTCACCAGGGGCTGGCAACCCAGAGGTGCTCAGGGCCCTCTACACCCTCTCTCTGCAGATTCGTGGTCCTCATGCTGACGCACTTCGACCTGGAGCTGGGCAGCGCAGACACTGAGGTCCCTGAGTTTGACCTCAGTAGGTACGGCTTCGGCCTGATGCAGCCTGTGCACGATGTGCTCATCCGGTACCGCATCCAGCAGTGACCTGCATGGAGCAGACGCCGCGCGGTCACCTCCAGCCAGCTGCTACAGCCTCCCTGTCTGTGCCAGCATTGCCTTTCTGCTTTTCTTCTAGAAGATTGTTTCCAAAGGAGCGGACAGAGGGGACACTAAGAGCCCAAAGGCATCAGAGCAGAAAAGCCTTCAAGCTCTGGATTGTCACACAAGGCTTTGTGCTCCCAGCTCACCTTGCTCCTCCCACCTGTGACATCCACAAAGCTCATCCAGACAAGGCAGGGCCAGAATCCTCCCTGCCCCCAACTCCCAGAGGGTCACCGACCCTCCCCCTAACAACAGGCATGGGCCAGCCTTAGCTGGTCAGAGCAGGCGCTGACTGTGGAATGGCCCTCCAGCCCCGGCAGTGCATCCACTGGCATCAGCTCTGTTTCCCACTTACTAAAGTAGCTAAAGCCAAAGGAGCCCCTTAGGATATGCCCCTCCCTGCACCCTGCTTGCTGCATGTAGCCCTCCTCTCCGCTTGCAAGGATACTTGGGAGACTGCAGGAGGGTTTTCTGAGCCTGGGGCATCTGGACAGCAGGATGTGGACTCCTCCCAACCTGGCCTCTGTGGGCTGGACTTTCCCTTCTAGAGCTGAAGGAGCCAGACGGGCTGGCCTTCCCCATGCCAGACTCTGTAGGGAAGCCAGAAGGACCTGGTTCTGCCAGGGTAGCTAGAAGGAGCGGCCAGGGCTCTTTGGGAGGCTCGAGTCCAAGAGAAGAGCTCCCCCCGGCTCCCCCCACCAGCACACCAGGTCCCACTGCAGGATTGTTGTCTGCAGACAGGGTTTGGGGTCCTACGCTGTAGACAGTCAGCTTAATAGTCACCATGTCATTTGTGGGAGAGGCCGTTCAAACATCCAACTCCTTCAGAAAATGTGCAAGCTCTGGCCATACTGGTCCCATCTTCCAGAGGTCATCCCTTTCACGCTCTGGGTCACAGGGTTTGGCTTGCTCTGTTTCTGTATTCCCAGTTCCTTCCGCCCTTGAAGGATCTGAATTTGAGACCCTGTTCTGATATCATAGGAGGTGTGGGAACCAGCCTAGTGGTCCTCAGGGCAGGTGTTCATCCCAGCCTTGGTGCACCAGCCTTTGAACTCACAGGCCAGTGACAAACACTTCCCTTTCTCAGCTTTAGGAAAAAGAGCTTAAAAAGAAACCTCCTTTGTAACCTTTATTATGATGGCAATTGTCATCAATGGTATTAGGGCCTGCTGACTGAGTGCCTTTAAACAGTTGTGACAGGCACAACATCTATGTCCCCTGTAAAGATGAGAAAACAGGCTTAGAGAGGTGAAGCAACTTGCCAGGGGTCACATGGCTCGTCAGCCGATAGAGCTCTGCCTACACACTTAGGAGCAAATGTTGGGTGGACAGCTCTTCATTCTTTGAGATCCAGAGGTAGTGGTGGGACAGTTATGTTTGCCATCAGAGTTGACAGCCAGAGGCACCCAAGCGTGACACATCTTATGAGATGCAGACACCCAGACACATACATAATGAGGTCCCTCTAGCTTTAGCAGAAAAAAACATCTTGCAGATGTGCTAGAGGTTTCTCTCTTCTTGGAGCAGCACTAGGGCCTGGGGGCTTTCCTGGCCCTCGGACTCCAGGCGCCCCCAGGATTCCCAGACAGACGGTATGATTGGCAGGAGGCTGGATATCCCCAGGGAAACCCATCTTCACGCCCTGGTGACCCCACTGCTGCCTGCTTCTTATCTCTGCAGGAAATCAGAGCTGGCAACCTCTAGTGGGAGGATGAGCCGGTTTCCATGGCAACCCTCAGCTGCCTCCTCCTGGCTGGAAGGGAAGGAAGCCAGCAGAAATAGCTACAGAAGGTTTCTCTGCAGGCTGCAGCCCTGGTGTGTTGGGGAAGCCCTCCGACTTCCCCCTTCCTGGGCGGGGCGGCCGTTTCCTCTCCGGAGACTGTCACCTGCATTCAGAGAGGGCTGATTCCCTTTAAAGGCAGTGCCTCCCTGGAGCCTGGGTCATGAGGAGATCCCAATCATGGGAGAGATGGGGCTCTCGCCAGGCGGCTCCAGCTGAGACCTGAGGCATGGACACGAGGTCCAGAGACAATGATTGAAGCCTGCCCTCGTTTTAATCTTCATGATTTGTCTTTTCCTTTCTCCTTTTTTTAATCTTTAAAATAAACTTCAGAGAGTCGGGGAGAGGTGAGTGGATGGACCTCTGCATAGTTCTTGGCGTCTGGCTTGAGAGCCACTGCTGTGAGATGTGCTAGAATCCTCTGAGGCTGACACGGAGTGCTTCCTTCAGTCATTTTTGCTCTTTTTCTGCTGTATTTTTAACTGTTGTTTACCAAATGTTCTCCTTTAAGCAGATTCACTTTTAAAACACAAATTTGTTTTTCAAATGCTCCCAGTAACGGATCACATGTGTCCCTCACTGCCCAAGACAGAAGGTGACTGTGGAGAATAAATTGGCCAGGGATAGGGCTCTGTGGTGGTGAGGCCAAGGAGACTCGGCCTGAGAGCCTTTCCTTTAGGTTTCAGAAGAGCCCAGCAAGTGTCAGGGCTGGCCACAGGCCTCGTCCGCATCTCCCTGTGACCTTCTCCTTGGTGGATCTGCAGAGGATGAGAGGGGTCCAAGGAGGGGCACGGTGCTCACAGCACAGGCCACCCAATTGAGCTGATGGCATCCTACCTGCCCTGACCTTGTCTCCTGGCAGAGCAGGCACCACGAGTCCAAGCATCTTGGTCCAGGCCATTGGTTTTGATGTCACTGTTGCTGTTTTTAGTAAACACTGTGTTTCTTGAGTACCGTGACAGTTAAAGCCTTGCTACTTTAATAAACTTCTATTTTCATAAAACATTATGGAGAGGAAATGTGCTACAATCTATTAAACCATGCTTGTTTGTGGAGCTGTCTCTGCCTGTGATTCCCACGGAGGATCGGAAGGTGAGGTCAGCTCCTGGGAGTCAGGTAGCAGCCTCATCTTGGGAGCTTGTCCTTATCTTGGGTGGTGAGGATTATGGACGGGTGTGACAGGATGAGACTGGTGACTTTCAGAGCCTGACCTCATAGCATGGGAAGGTGGGGTTCAAGAGGGGAGAGGCCTGAGAGGAGGCTGGTGAGATCAGGAAAGGTGGGGCAAGGTCAATGGAGAGGAGGCAGGAGGCATGGGCCTCAAAGGGCAGGGAATGAAATGTCACCTTAGGAGAATCGGTTATTAGCCCTTGGTATCCACGCTCTGCTTTCCTCCTGCTGCTGACTCGCCCCTTTTCAAACACATCTTCGGGTGTCCTGGCTCCTGTGTGCGGAGGAGAGATGTTTACCTCTAATTGCTCTGCTGGACACCTGTGCATCTGTCTGTCCCTATCCTGAATTTCATCACGGTTTAGCCACATACCCTGGAAGTCAATGGCTCTGGAAACACTGGCCACAAGGAGACTCACTGGAAGATGTCAGGTTTAGCTGGCTCTCTCTGTGGTGACCCTGGTGGTACCCACGTTTCCTCCAATGGCGGGAGCCCAAGAGACCATGCCAAAGCTCTGACAAAGCCTTATACCAGCATTAGTAAGGGCTGAGTAGGGATGGCTGCATGGGAGGGAAGATACGGATGGAAGGATGGGTGGGTGGATGGGTGGGTGGAGGGGTGGATGGATAGGTGGATGGAGGGGTGGGTGGATGGGTGGAGGGATAGGTGGATGGATAGGTAGATGGATGGATGGGTGGATGGAGGGGTGGGTGGATGGGTGGATGGATGGGTGGATGGATAGGTGGATGGATGGATGGGTGGATGGAGGGGTGGGTGGATGGGTGGAGGGATAGGTGGATGGGTGGATGGATAGGTGGATGGGTGGATGATAGGTGGATGGATGGATGGGTGGATGGAGGGGTGGGTGGATGGGTGGAGGGATAGGTGGATGGATGGATGGGTGGATGAAGGGGTGGGTGAATGCATGAGTGGTGAGGAGATACACGAATATTTAGGGTGACTGATTATCAAGTGAATGGAGTAGGTAAGACACGATGCAGGAGTGGATGGATGGACAGATGATGGATGGATGGATGGATGGATGGGTGAGTGGGAAGATGGATGGATGGGTGGTTGGGTGGGTCGATGAGTGAGGAGCAAGCATCTGGCTATTTGGATAGACAGATGGATGCATGGATGAATGGGCGGCTAGATGGACAGACAGATGGGCACAGGTATAGGTGGGTGGGAAGATGGAGCAGGCATGGAATGTGTGGAGTAGAGGGAGAGATTGATGAGTGAGCAGGCAAGTATGTGGGTGAGTGTGGGTGGATGGGTAGGTGGGATTTAGTGAGAGTGGATGGATGACTGAGGGGATGGTGAGATGGATGGATGGCTGTTAGATAACAGAGTGGCTAGAGAGATGGGCAAACGGGTGAGTTCATTAGAAAACCAGGTTCATTCATTTACCAGGAGCTTGAGCCAAGAGGCCGAGGCATGATAAAGACCACCATGCTAGTAGGGGACAAAGCAGGGCCTTGACTCAAACGACTGGTCAGTCAGGCTCATCCAACAGTTTGCCAGGTTTTCTTTATATTATAGTCCTCAGCCCCAGGTGAAAGAGCTGGAAAGAATCCGAGGTGGGGACAGACACATCCAGAACACTTACACAGTGCCAGTATATAGTAAGCGCTTAATCAGTGCTTATTATTAACGTGCCTGTTGGTGTTGCTTTTACTCTTATTTTTTTTTTTTCAGTACTAGGGTTTGAACTCAGGGACTACTGAGTGTAGTCCCTGTCCACCAACCCTTTTTTTTTTATGATGGGTTTTTTTTTTTATATACAGTCTCACGAACTATTTGCCTGGGCTGGCTTCAAACCTAGATCCTCCTGATCTCTGCCTCCTGAGTCGCTAGGATTACAGGCGTGCTTGTGAGTGTCCAGTAAGAGCAAAGCACTTCCCACACATGGCCTCATTGGCCCTCCCAGTCCCCCTGGGAGGCAGACTCCATCACTGACCCCACTGCTTCTTGTGATTTTGGCTGTTGTTATTGGGGATGACAGAAGAGCAGTGGGCAAGGAGATTGGCTTCTGAGCTGATGGGAAAAACACTGAGCTGCTGGAGCTTCGAGCAAGGTCACAGCAAAGAGTGGGGGTCCGGAATGACAACCACGGAGATGTAATGATGTCCCCTGAGCCTCTGCATCCCCACCCTCATTGAGCCATTTCTCCTGTCTGGGAATTCATGGCGGCGGTGGGGTGGGGGTGGGGTGGGGGGATTAATTAGCCTTGCTCTGTGCCCAGATGTTTGGAGAAACCTGAGCAGTGCACCCGGTGAGACCATAAATAAGTGATGGCTGGCATCATGGAATCAAGAGAGAAGATTTGACTTCAAAGGGATGCGTCTCTCGCCAGCACTATTTAGAGGGAACATCACAAGCACTTAGGAGAACTAATTGGGTGGACTTGACCTCACTCAGCCTCGAAGAGCAATCTCAACACCTGTCAGCAGGATGTCTGCCGAGAGGGCTGAGCCTGCGCACTGTGAGAGAGCACTGGCCAGGAGCCAAGTGACGGCGTTGGAACGTGGCTGTCCACTTGCTGGCTGACCGCTTGGATACTGTTCCCTTCCGTGAGTTTGTAGCTTTCTCAGCTTTAACTGAGGACTGTGTCTGAGCTCTAACTGGGGTGGGGTGTCTCCTCTCTGTAGGATATTCTGGGTTTTTGCCCTTTTGCCTATACATACACATCTTCTCAAGACAATGCTAAACTTCTGGTCAGTGAGAAAGGACTGTTACCAGTTGATGACAGAATGACAATCTGTTCTAAGTGGAAAGGAGTATTTACTAGTTCACAAAATTGGAAAATCCAGTGGCACTGCTTTCAGGCATGGTTGGATCCAGGAGCTCTAATGATATTGTCATTCCTTTCTTCGTGTGTGGTTTCATGAAGACTGATACCGGTGTGATAGCAGCCATTTTGTGACTATGAAGCAACATATCTGAGGACAAAGAACACATATATTGAGAAAGGCAGAGCAAAAGGGTGGGAGCAACCTGGGTCCTTAATAACTCAGCTGAGCTGCTAAATCCACTCAGATACTTTCCTCCATACTTTCATGTGAGCTTGTTAAGCAGACTGCTACTTGAGATGAGTAAGACAGATGAGCCCCTGCCTTCAGGTAACCTGCTAAGGACCATGTGCTTTTTATACACTCTTCATAATAACCCTGGAAAGCAAGTGCGAGTTGTATTGCCAACCCATTATTCAGAAGGGAAAACTGAGGCTCAGAGGGTTCTGACCAGAATGCTCTCTGTGTGCCACGAGCCCTCACTGAATCCTTGTTGATGAGTGGCCACAGGGCTGTCTGCCAAGAGGTGACAGAAGTGTCCCCACTGTTTCTGTTTCCAAGATCTGGTTGGATCCACACACTCTGCATCTAAACCCACAGCCAACTTTGAGCCAGGGTGGGTAGGGATCTGCAGCATCCCACAGCAGCCCTGGGCAGCCTGAAACTCGCAGCTGGGTCCTGGTCCAAGCCCCATTACCTTTGGCTCAGACAGTTATAGAAGCCTCGTCTTGGGGTTCCAGGTGTGTCTTTCCCCACAATCCCTAACGCACGTAGCAGGTGCAGAAATCATTTCAAAACCTGCATCTATGTGGAAAACACCATCATGGCTCCCAGCACAATCAGAAAGAACTCACGCTCCTCCCTTCCTGAGGATAAAATCTCTATGACCTGGTCCTGGCATGCTGCTATTCTAAGCACCTCGAGGCTTAGGTCTTGCCATTCTACCACCTGTACCTCCTTCCTTTGCACAAGGTCCACTTCTCCCTCGGGCTCTCAGCTCCCATGTCACCTCCTCCAGGAAGCCCTCCCAAACCCCATCCAACACTGCTGGTGCCTTGCACGGTGACGTGTGTTGCCTCTTCCTGGTTACTTTTCTTCACTGCATTTACCCCAAGCTGAATGCTTTACTTTGTTTATTAATCAGATCCCCCACCAGAATACAAGTCTGTGAGTACAGGGACTGTCTTTTATCCACTGTGTGTCTCCAAGTGTCTAGGCTGATGCATGGCACATCCTAGGTGCTCAGTAATTATTGAAAAGAGTAACATGCCCAGGCTGGGAAATACCCTTGCCTTCCATTCAGTTAATCCATGGTGTCGCAATCTTGTCACCACTGACATCCTGAGATGAAGAAACCTGTATTGACAGGAGGGAGGTGTTCTGTGCATTGTAAGATGTTTAGCAGTGTCCCTACGAGATGCCAGGAAGATGCTCCCCTGGAGTTGTGACAACCAAATACATCTGCAAATGTAGTCACGGCCCCTGGGTCAAACAGACAATGAAATATCTGCCTACCTCATGGGGGGAGGCAGTAGCTTCCTTGCCTTTGAAACTGCCTCCAGTTTCTTTCTAGCAACACCTGCATTCCTCAGGGCTCTGCAGTAATCCTGGGTAGGACTTGGTGTCTGGTTGTTGATCAGGAGTGAGAGTAGGGCAAGGGGAAAACAGCTGTTCCTTAATGAACTGACAAAAATGTCACTGAGGGGACAAAGGTGCACAGATAGAGCTAAGCTTGCCCCAAAACAGGTGGGCAGAGAGCATGCCTACCTGTGCCCAGGCACCCTACAGAGCCAGGTGAGTAGCACAGGGCACATGGGCACAGGTATGAACACACAGGCCAACAGAGCAGGTGGCAAGCTTGCGGGAGGGCACTTCACATGGCTGCTCTGCAGAGCAGTGGGAGAGGGTGGGCAGTGCTTGGGTGATTTTCGTGGAAGAAATGCCAAGCTCCCAATGATGAACTGAGGGTCTCGATTCCAACGCAAAAATCAAAATTAATGAACCAAGATGTTTTCCATGGAGGGCAAGGAGGACCTCTTAAACACAACTTGTAAAGTGCAAACCACAGAGCCAAAAAGCCCAACTTGTTCTGGTCACATTAAAATGTTTCTTTAACAAAGGACACTGTGGAAAAAGTTAATAGGTGACAGAATGGAAGGAGATCCTTGCAATGTCTAAAGTCAGCAAGGAACTTGAAAGTTAGTATACAAAGGAGCCCTGCAAAGCATTTGAAACCTACAAAACAAAAAAATAGGAGCCCCAATAGCAAAACAGTAAGATGTACACCAGTGACTTCTGGATTGTTCCTGGCAGAGAAACACACATTTAAGTGCACCACAGTGTTACTTTGCCTGTTAGACTGTCAACATTTAGATAGCTGGGTGACACCTTCTGTTGGCACAGACAGGGCTCTAGGGACTCCCCAGCACTGCTGGGGTCATGCCAACAGGACTGGCCCTCTGAGGTTGCCTTGGTTAAGCACATACACCCTTGATGCATCCAGTCCACACCGGCAGGAAGCACTGGCCCCTTAGCAGGCGAGAGGGAGGATGCTTGTGGGTGCACTTGTGATGGTGGGAGCTGGAGGTCGTCTGAATGACCTTGCGGGAGGGAAGGTCTTACAGCAGAATAAGAAACAGCACGAGGTCTACAGTGCTGAAACTTACACACAAAACACCATTTTCCCAGAACATATAGACACACACAGACACCCAGTAAGCCTGTGACAACTGTTGCCCCTGGGGGAAGGAAGGTGGTAGGAGGACAATGAAGAGGAAAGAGAATAAAGAGGTAAATAAAATGACAGAAAAGGAAAACAAGTGTCAGGTGTTCTGCCCTGCTGACCTTAGCCAGGTGAGTAACACAGGCCACGGAGTGTCAGGCCATGGAGTGTCAGGCCACCAGGGCAGAACCCTGCTGGTTATTTACTCTCGAGGCCAACACTGCTGCCACTGCTTGGCAGGTATAGATGCTCTGGCTTGCACAGATTCTATGACCAATGAATGGTGAGGACTTTGTGGGGCCATGCTGGTGCCTGCATGGCCCAACAATCTGGCAGTTGGCATGGGGAGTTCTGCCCTTGTAGGGCTGCTTGCTTCCACCCCTTCATGAAGCTCGTTTCTTTTATCACACGTATTATGGTTTAAAACGCTCTCATTTTTAAAATTTGCCTGTTAGTTGCCTGTCTTCCTCCACTGGTCCACACACTGGGAGAGGAGGGCAGGGCTGAATCACAGCATCAGGTCAGAGTTAGGATTTCATGTAAAGCAAGGGGAAATCTTGAGAGGGGTGTAAGCCAGAGAGAGGCACAGTTCAGTTCATGAAATGTACCTATCATTCTGATGGCTGTCAGATGAGTAGGATCAGTGGGGAGCACAGGCGGGAGCAGGGAGGGAGGAGGTCACAGGGAGACAAGGAGGTGGCACCGTGGACAGGATTGTGCCGAGAAGTGGACAGGTAAAAATCTAACTATGGAAAGCAGTCCCTTAATTTTAGAAATGAACAGGAAGCAAGAGGGGAGGGGCATTACTCCGGAGCACTGGGTCTTCTCCAGTTTTCCTCCTGAAGGACGGGGTTCGCTGGGCATTCCCGGTACCTGCTTACGTGTGGAGCAGAAAACACATGTGTGAAAGAATAAATGAGCAAATACAGGCCCAACCACGGAGGCCTGACCCACCTCTCCAGGTAAATCTTCCCCACATTGGTTTCTGAGACGACTTGGTGGACTCTGTGCCCCCCACTGCACAGGGCGTTCCAGGGGAAGCAGGTCCCTTCTCTGATCTGGCACAGCTCTCAAGAGCCAGCTGTCCAAGTTCGCATGAACGCAAGAATGAATCATCAGGCTATATAAATTCTCTCTTCCCTCACCTGGCTTTCTTTCCTCTTAGCATCGCCACTAACAGCCACATTGCATATTTATTTGTTGATGTGTTTACAGCCCACCTTCCCCTACTAGGATCTAGAATTCCATTCTAGAATTAGATTGTAGAATCTGGACCGGAAGCCGGGGAAAGCAAGGGCTGTTTAAGATTGCCGTGGGCCCTCCCCCAGCTCTCTAGCCCTCTCCTCGGCTGCTTATCAAACCCCAGCCCTTAGCCCTGTCTGACATATTCTCTCACTTTTTTGTTTGTGGTCTGTCTCCAGGCAGCTCCCAAGGGCGAATGTTGACTCACAGTAGTATCTCAGACGCCTGTCACTGAACCTTGCACACAGTAGGCGCTCAACCACGCGGAGGACAGGCAGGAAGGCGGATTGGCAGACAGGTGTGGCTGTAGCCGGGGTGGGGAAGGGCGGGATGCCCGGCGAGCATCTCTGCTCCGCCCAGACCCGCAGCCGCCCGGGGCCTCACCAACCCGCCGGCCCGGGCACGGAGGAGTTAAGCAGCGTGCGCGCTTCCGACCCGCAGGTGGCGCCGTCCCGCCTCGGTGCCGACTCCGCGCGCTCCGAAGTGCGGGACAGAATCGCAGCGAGCGCGGAGCCGAAGCTCAGCCTGACTTGTTGATCTCGCCCAGGCAGCCGCCGCCGCCGCCGCCGCGCCGGAGGAGGAGAAGGAGGAGGAGGAGGAGGAGGAGGAGGAAGAGGCGCCGCCAGATCGCGGTCCTGCCCCCAGCGCCCCCGCGCCCGCCGGCCTGCCAGCGCCCCCCGCCTCGGCGAGCGCGCCCGGCCCCGCGGCGCCTGCAGCCCAGGCGCGTCGCCTGCCCGGCCGGGGTAGACCGGGCCCAGCCCGGCCCCGGGACCGCCGCTGCCCGCGGGCGGGGGCGCCCGGGCAGCCGGGACGATGCGCGGTCCCTGGCCCCGGGAGGCGGCCGCCCTGGGGGTGAGTGTTGGGGCAAATGGCCCGCCGGGGGTGCAGGGGGTCGCCCGCCGTGGCTCGGCCTGTTGGTGCGTCCGAGCTCCGCGGCTCGGAGCGCGGAGGTGGGGGGTGGCAAAGGCTGGGGCCTGAGGAGGAGCGCGATCCCCGTTTTGGGGCGAGGGACGAGGGCATGCGCCCCACATGCTGTGAGCTCAGGGGAACCCCCCCAAATCAGCAGTGCGCGGTGGAAGGAGGGCACGTTTTGAAAGGCCAGAAAATTCAGCTCGTTTCCCCGCCTCCCACCTCCCCCACCCCTTCCCTTCCCAGCCCGGGGAGAGGCGCAGAACCCGGAGTTATAAAAAGCCATCGCCGGAGAGGAGCGAGGAGGAGGAGGAGGAGGAGGAGGAGGAGAAGAAGAAGGTGGAGGAGAAGGGGGCGGGGAAGGAGCGAGGGGACAGAGCAGGCGGATCCCAGGACTCCGCGCGCCCTTCCTGCGGTAGGGCAGGGGTCGCAGAGGGAGGGGCGGACCCCGCTCGGAGCTTGGCTTTGCATCCTCGCGGTTCACCTCGTCGCCGGAGCCACCTTAGGAGGTGCTCCTGTGGCTTGGGAAGAGGGATCCCTCCAGAACAGAGGGGCAGTTGTGAGCACTCCGTCTGTGGTGACCTCTGACAGGGGGGCATCTGGAAGCCCCCAGAATCCACTCCCCCCCAAAATCTTTTAAGATTTAGAAAAAGCAAGCCCACTGCCATTGCCCCGCCCCCCTCATCCTGATTATCTTGGGTGGGGGTGGGAGGAGATGAGAACTCATTAAAAAAAAAAAAAAAAAGGAAGGAAAGAAAGTTTTTCTTGCCGCTCCCTCTCCCCATCGCGGGGCCAGGTTCGGGACTCAGCCCAGCCCCGAGACGCACAGACAAGGGAATTTCAGCACTCGAAGGAGCGGACAGCGCCCCGGGCTGCTGGGTCGCGCCTGGGCCGCAGAAGCCGGGGTTGGGGGCGGGAGTGGAGGGGGTTCCCGTGCTCCGGGGACACCTCTGGGGCCCTCTCCCCGCCCCAAGGCGGCCCCTCCCTCCGTCCCCGGGGTGGGGCTGACTTCAGCACCGGCAGGAGGGACAGCGTGCAGCCGTCTACCCCCCCTGAGCCGCTTAAGCTCTGGGAAGGTCAAGGCCGGCGGGGAACCTGGTGGAGACTCGGGACTCGGGGAGGGGCCATGCCCAGCTCCCGGTTTGCTGACCCAGGTCCGCTTTCGCTTTCTGCCTCGCAGCCGTCGGGATGGAGGTGAGAAGGCGGCCGTGACGCACGCCCGCGCGAACCCCTGCACCCCAGCAGCCGGCAGCGCTCCCTGCCCCCCTCCCCCGCGGACGCGGGCCTTGCCGTCGAGTGACAGCGGCCTGGGGGGGCAGGGGGGGCGGGGGCAGCCGGACCAGCGATGCCGGCGGGCATGACGAAGCATGGCTCGCGCTCCACCAGCTCGCTGCCGCCCGAGCCCATGGAGATCGTGCGCAGCAAGGCGTGCTCGCGGCGTGTGCGCCTCAACGTCGGGGGGCTGGCGCACGAGGTGCTCTGGCGCACCCTGGACCGCCTGCCCCGCACGCGGCTGGGCAAGCTCCGTGACTGCAACACGCACGACTCGCTGCTCGAGGTGTGCGACGACTACAGCCTGGATGACAACGAGTACTTCTTCGACCGCCACCCGGGCGCCTTCACCTCCATCCTCAACTTCTACCGCACCGGGCGGCTGCACATGATGGAGGAGATGTGCGCGCTTAGCTTCAGTCAGGAGCTGGACTACTGGGGCATCGACGAGATCTACCTGGAGTCCTGCTGCCAGGCCCGCTACCACCAGAAGAAGGAGCAGATGAACGAGGAGCTGAAACGCGAGGCCGAGACCCTGCGGGAGCGAGAGGGCGAGGAGTTCGACAATACGTGCTGTGCAGAGAAGAGGAAGAAACTCTGGGACCTGTTGGAGAAGCCCAACTCCTCCGTGGCCGCCAAGGTGAGTCAGGGACTGAGGTTGCAAAGGGCTGGGGGCTCAGCCTGTGTCCCCAGAACCAGAGCCTTGGCTGGGGTCTCTGGCTTAGTTTCCAAAGATGAAGACCAGTATGGGGCAGGAGCTCTGGCTGAGTCCCCAGAGATGACAACTGCCACCCTCAGACTTTTCCCTGTGTGCCATCCATTGGTGACCCCTCCTGTAGTTATTTGGTACTGTGTACCCCCACTTTGTTGGGGGAAATAATGAACAGGGACTTCTGAAAAGTTGTGGTTCAAGGATGGTCCCCCAAAACAAGAGAGAATGCCCCAGACAGTGTTCTGCTGGGAGGAGCACAGTTGAGTCTGGTACTCTGAGACTCAGGCTGTAGTGGGTAGCCCTAGGATTTTAATACCTATTCCTGTTTTTATTCCCAGAATGGGAATAAAGGCAGTTTATAGACATGCTTCAAAGATGCAGATATACTGACAGGTGCTTTCACAGGAGCAAAGACCTGCAAGGACTGATGTGGACAGGCTCCATGGACAGTTGGCTGTAGATGCTCATAGGCCAGGGATCACCCTGGCTACTTATTTGTCTAGCTATTTGGTGAGGTTTTCCCAGAGCACTTTGGTGCAGCTTGTTAAGATCCTCGGGCTATTGGAGGAGGATTTTGAAATGGGAGAGGAAAATGAAGCAGTGTGAAAAGTACCAGAGGAGAAAGAGGCAGGAGTGAGTTCACCCACACTGTGTGGGCTGCTGAGTAAAGGTGGAGGCCACAGCAACTGGGAGAAGCCCAGGGTGAGGACTGGGGCAGGACAGGATGATGTTCACTCCTTTAAGTCAAGCTGGGCCTCAGGGGTGCTGGAGAGGGGCCTGTCCTTATGTGGCTTCAGAAGTAAATGACAAGACAGCGTGTTCAGGGCTATAAGAGGTTGGGACGGGCCCAAGGAGAGCCCAGAAAAGAGACATCAGTGTCAAAATCCATCAAGACCAAGTTGGGAAAGACAAGGAGGATGAATTCACTCTTTGATGGCAGGGCCTATGAAGCGGGTGGATAAATAGATTCTTGGTGAAAGGAAAAGGGAAAGATCTAACATTCAGCCACAATTTGTTGCAAGGGCTGGTGTCTGTCTGGCCTGGCCTCTCATTGGGGGTTCAGTAGCTCGGCTGGCCCCTCATTGGTCCCTGATCTAAAGGGGACTCTATGGGGTCTTTCCCCATGTCTGGTTACCCAAGGAGAAGCCCCTGGGAGTGGACGTAGAAGAAGGTGGCTGGTAGGTAGGAAGGTGGGAGGAGCTTTTTCTCTTGCTTGTGGGGCCTACAGGACCCTGGGCCTGATCTCCTGGAAGGCTGTGGGACGCTTATGGCCATAATCCTGTTCCGTGTCCAGAAAGCCTGCCTGGCAAGACTGAAGCACTCACCCTAAACCAGCTTAGGATCAGAAGACTTACTTTGCTATTTCCAGGCCTGACACGGGTTCCCCCAGAGCACATCTCATTGAGATCCAAACATCCCCTCCGGCCTCCCGGTCCTGCCCCTAAGAAATGAGAGGCAGGAATTGGGGGAGGGGCTGGCCTCCCCATGAAGAAGCAGGCTGTGTTTGGATTGGCATCTGGCAGTGGGGCACAGGCGCTATTTGGGAATAAACAGCCTCTCTTCTCCCTCGGGTTAATCCACTCACCAGAGAGCTTCGTGACCTCTCCATGATCCCAGGCTGGGCTGTCAGCTCACATTCCTGCAGATGGACCTGCTAGGATTTTCTGCAGCCAGAGCTGAAATGGGGAGGCAGGCAGGCTCGCTGGCCCTCAGCAAATACCTGAAATGCCACTGAGCAAATACCTAACAAATAGTGAGGCTGAGAGAGGTGAAGTCATTTGCCTAAGGTCACAGAGCAAGCAAATAGGGGTAACTAGAAATTCAAATCCCTGTTCTTTCATAGGGTTTGAATGCCACAGGCTCCTCCCCAGTCTCTGTTCCCACTTTTGCCCCTCCAGTCCATTCCGCATGCAGCAGCCAATGTGCGCATTTCAAAATGCAAATTGGATTGCATTATTCATCTGCTTAAAATCCTCCCAGGTTACCCCATCACACTCAGAATAAAACCCAGATTTCATCATGGCACATGAGGCTGCACAGAATCTGGCCCTCAGGACCTCTCTGAGCTCATGTCTTCCGTTCTCTTCTGTCTCACTTGGTTCTGGTTCCACTGGCCTCCTTGCTATTCCAAGCAGGTCAGGGTGTATCCAACCTCAGGACCTTTGCACTTGCCATTCCTGCTCCCTACCACGCTCTTCCCAGATTCTTCCGTGGCCAGACCCTTCTCCTCATTCCCCATCTGAGCAGGCTCCTCCGAAGAGAGGAACCTTCCTTGACTCTTGTCTAAAAAGCTTCCGTCCCTAATACTGTGCCACATGCAGTGACTTCCCTGCACAGACCTGACGCATCGCTTGAAATCATTTGCTCCCTTGTGGCTCTCTCTTTCACACTCCCAAAAATGAGAGTACCATGATTTGTAGCCACTGCTTTGTCCTCAACAGGCATCATGGTGCCTGGCCCGAACTCAAATAACTGCATGCAGAATGAAAAAAATGAATGGGTTCAGCAAGCAGTCAGTCACTGTCGTGAGCTTTGGGGACCCGTCACTTCCTCCTCAATGCTCACCTGTGATTTAGTTCCCTGGGCATCTGGCCTCTTTTAGTCACCTGACTTGGTCCACCTCAAGCCCCCAGTTTGGATGCCCTGCTTGTCAGCACAGAGAGACCTGTGGGGATTTCTTTGAGGCCACAGGCTGGGAGGACCACCTGGAAGATCATTTCTGGATGGCTCTGCTTTGTCCCTATTATATTTCAGAAGTCAGGATGGACAAAGGTTCTAGCCTCAGCTCCACACACTGCCCGAGGCTCTGGCCTCCCCATGCCCGGCCTCCCACCTGTGAAATGAGATCAAAGGCACCATGCAAGGTATCATGAAATCTCGTTTGGGAAAACTTAGCACAGGGCTCAGCATATAGCAGGTAGGTGCTGCTGTGATAAATGACAAGAAGCCGAGTCCCTTTTCTGGGCTGGGTGGGCTGAGTTGCCACAAACCCCTTCCTGCCAGCAGTGTTGTGGGGAGGCTGAGCTGAGGACATTAATAATTGATGGAATGTTCCAGCAACTCAGAGACAAACCCAAGGCCCGGGCCCTGGACTCCTCCATCAAAACCCATTAGGCCAAAGACAGTGTGATTGGTTGTTGTTTGGAAGATGGGGTCAGCCCATCGGGTGGCACAGCACACAGAGGTGCTGGGATCACCACTGCTTTCTGCTTCCTGCAAGGATGTGACAGGACGGTCTCGAGTGCCCAGCTCTGGTTAGTGGTGCTTTGTGTCTTCCTAGCATTGAAATCCCTCCTCCCATCTAGTCAGGTCATGTGCCTGTTAGGGCTGTAAGTAACAGATTAGAAAAATCCAAACAGCTTCAATTGGAGGAAGATGTGACATGGTCACAGTAAATCGTGATGTTCCAATGTGGCTGGGTTTGGTGAGTCCATGGCTCAGAAATGCCATGGGAATTCTGGATTCTTTCCGTCTCTTTCCAGCCCCTGCTGATGACTTGGTACTCAACCCTGATGCCTCTAACAGAACATGACTGCCCAGTTCCAGCCTTCAAATGTAGACACAGTGATGTCCAACCCATGAAGAGGGACATTCTCTCCTGTGCTATGCTCCCCTCTTTTCTCCTTTGAGGAAAACCTTCCCCCGGAGCACCTAGCACACGCTGTCTTTAACCAATCCCATTGGCCAGTACAGATCACATGGTACATGCACTTTTGGCAACCCCACTGGCCAGCATGGGTCCCATGCTCATGCTTTTTTTCCAATCTCATTGGCCAGGAGAGGCCACATGCTCATGTCCTAGCTGCAGGGGATTCTGGGAAAGCAGCTCTCTGGTTTTCAGACAGAGCAGGGAATGGATTGATGACTGATGTTAAGACCTGTGACAGAGGAGGAAATGGCGGTAAAGTCACTTTGCCTGAACACACACAGCTAAATGATCAGTAAATATTTGTCAAAGGAGTGAAAATGACAGAGTCAAGGTTTGGATCCAGTTCATCTGGTCCCGGTGGTAGATTATTTATGTTCTCTGAGTTTCTGAGGGTTCGTCTGCCAAATGGGGATATAGCCATGCACACCTTGGGGTTGTTTGGATGACTCAATGAGATTTCCGGTGTGAATGTGATTTGCAGATGGAAATGATAAGTGAGAGTTGTTATTATTATTTTATCCTTAAGTGGGAGTGGCGGGGAGTCAGGGACAGTACTTGGTACCTTGTCCGTCACTGATGTGATGCAAACTCGGCTCTGGAGTACAGCAGAGGTGGGTTCGTGTCTCCCCGACATCGTTCCCCCAGGAATACATCCTCGACAAATTCCTTTTCTCCTCTGAGCCTCAGTTTCCTATCTGGGAAATGGGGTTTGGAGTGGAGATAACTGCACAGGCCATTAGGAGAGAATCTGCACAAAGCGCCTCGCCAGTGCATGGTGCGTGGGAAGCGTTTGGTGCCCGCAGCGGTGATTCGTAGATCGCCTTGGAATCCCTCTGTTCTCACTCCGCCCCTGGTTGCCTGCATGTGCTATTACACTGCTCAGTGCAGCATCACCACCCTGAAGTCGTCTGGGATTTCAGGCCTCTGCTCTGATGAAGCTTTGACTTCCTTGGCCTAATCCAGGAAGATTTGTGTATTATCAAGAAAGACAAATTTTCTGCTGGGCACCTTGCCTCATGATTGTAATCCCAGAGGTCAAGAGGCTGGCCTTAGTAAAAAGTTAGTGAGACCCCCATCTCAACCAACAAACTAGGCATGGTGGTGCATGCCTGTCGTTCCGCTACTTTGGAGGTATAGACAGGAGGATCGCCTTAAGAGGATAGATATGAGGCTTGCCCCAGGCAAAAATAAGAGACCCTACATAACTAAAGCAAAAACGGTCAGAGGTGGTAGGGGTGCCTATTGAGCCAGCTGAAGGCCTGGAGTTCAAACCAGAAGA